AAAAAAAAAAAAAAAAAAAACAGGAAAAAACATACGTACGATGCGTGCGACTCTGCGTTCGCGACGAAGGCGTGGTACCGTGCAAAATGGCACGAACGCGCTTGTCTTGCAACGGTAAGAAACGCGCGCATGCAAGAGCGATATCGCGCTAATAATTATCACGGGAACAAAATCTCCCTGCCGTAGCTAATCTCGTTTGTTAAAATATATTTGTTGCCATAACTGTAAATTTATAAATTATGGTAAAATGGTTTGCTGTTGCTGGTATAATATAAATCATAGCTAAGACATTAGCTGTAATACCTATTTTCAGCTGTCCATCTTCTTATTTTACACCAACCATATATATAGTTACCAAACGTAGTTTTCAGTTCTTAATTGCGGCAGCTATTTTCTTTTTTTCGTAAAAGGGACAATAACGCGACAATAATTCGATCCTGTATCTTGAATATGATTTTTGCCGAACTGCTATTTTGAACCCAATTTTACGTTTAACCCTAGACCAGCCAAATTGAACTTTGAATGAAGGCATAATCGATATTTTGATTACGGATTCTGGTAGATAAATTTAAATCTGTGAAAATTAATAAAATATAATCCAACTTCTTTGTAACGGTAAAAGTTCATTGTTAAAGCTTTTATAAGTATGCAAAAATTTTTTCTGATTCTTATACAATTAAAATATAAAAATTCACATTAAAGATTGAAGATCCAGGTTGCTAACAAGAGATACAAAATGCCACATGGCTGATTCGTGGTTAATAATCACGAATTAAATGTTGAAAATATGGCGATGGTAGCTTCTGTTAGATGCGCGATGTACTTCATGGGAATTAAAAAACCGGCGGTCGATTTTATCGAGGCTCTATCGCTGGGAATAAACACCGCACCCTTTGCATCTATTTCCCCGGAGATAACCCCGTAATTGAGGGTTAGTGATAAGCAGGCGTAACGATACACTCTGTGATTTCTGTCGTGGCCCATTCTCCTCTATGATTTAACCGCGCACCTAGTGCGTAATCGCTTTTTCTAGTCATTCTGTTGAATTTTTCTAGAATCTTATCTTCGACAGCCGCGATCTTCCGGACGTTTCTTTCTGTACGCGATTAACGACGTTGAGATTATACGAAATCATACTCCATCATTTCATATAACATTTCCCTCGAGAAAATCGATATTTTTAGGTTTCATTTGCGATAAATTTCCAGCTGGGACAATTTTAAAGTTCCTATAATATATTTCAAAGAAAACACTTTGTCTCATAAATACTATTTGCCATATTGACATCTTTTTGCAGTTTCAAAATCGATTCCTAAATTAAAATATATTCAAACTTTTTATTAAAATTTTCTACAGATATCTACATAATTTTCTAGATATGGAAAATTTCATTATTTTCTCTAAATTTTTTAGAGTAGAATCTCACTCTAAAGAGTAAAAATTCTGCCATTCTTGAAAAAAAAAAAGTAAGATTTCACTCTTAAAGAATGAGATTCTGCTTCAAAGAATTTAGAGAGTTAGTTATTTTATTATTAGCTTTATGTAATATAATTACATCCAAACGTAATTCCGTGTTTTCATATTTAACATTTAAAGATTGATTTTTTGCGTAAAAAGATAAAGTTTTAGATTTTTCAATAATTATATTTTTTATACTGATAAGATATTTAATTTTTTTTTATCATTTCTATAATAATTTATTCACTCGCTTATTTTAGTGATGAAAACGTTGGTATTTTTAGTATTAACGTAACATAAGCTTCTGTAGACGCTTTGATAAGATACTTTTCAGTTCTTGGAAACTTTTTTAATCTTCCTGATAGATTCTTTCATTCTATTTTCTTTTACAAGAGTAAATATGATCATCGCAGCAACTAGAAATATCAGATCGCAGTATCAGCAGCCATTACGGCAGCTGGAGAATCGGAAAGCGCGTTGCACAATTTTGCGCATATCGAGGTCGCGCTCACGATTTTATCGAGTTCGTCGGCGATCTAATGATTTTTCATCGACTAATGCCGAGTGACGCGTCGAGGACACCGCTCTGCTTCTAAAGTGCAGGAAGAAATAGCGTTTTTTCTCTCTTTCTCTTCTCCTTTTTCTCCCTCCTCCCTCCACATCTCTCACTCTCTTTCTCTCTCTCTCGAGTCGTTATCAGGTCGCTATTTTAAGATCGCCTGCCTTCCCACGATGGATGAGAGCTGACGAGCACGACGCGCAGGACGCTGACGATCGGGCATTAATTAGCTAATTTGCGTTAATTGACGTCCGAGGACATTTTTCCGCGGAGACGCGCGTTTCCCAGGCCGAGGAAACGAGTGCGTCATAATTGAGTTAGCGTTACGTATTTTTAAGGCCACGCCACGCTTCCTCGCCCGCTTCTTCTCTCCTGGACGGCTTCGTCGCGCCGTTCCTTTCCTCCTTCTTTCTCCTCTGGTTTTTCCCCCCTCGCGCGAGTTAAGCCCAAGAGACTTAACAGCACGGCCACATGCGTGTGTTAACGCGTCGCTAATGTGACTCGCGGTGATTAAAACGCTTTGCGAAAACACTGAAAATCAAGGAAGCTTAGAAAAGGAAAAAAAAAAGAATATTTCTCGGAAACTGCGATTTATCAATGATTCCGATCTAAACGGAAAAAATGTAAAACGTCAAGAATTAAATTTTATTCAAATAAAATATCAATGTGAGAATATACCTAGAATATTTTATTTGTTTTATATAATGAAGTAACTTTGCACTCTAATTTAGATCATATTTATTTTTCTCAACTTCTTCAGATCGCTGAATTTTTGTGTAACAGCAAAAGTCTCTTTCCATCATTCTCTTTTTGGAAATTTACTTCTTTTATATATAATATTTATTATTATAACAATATATTAATTTTTTGTTCAATCGTATATTGATGTAAGTTTACATTTTACACATCATAAATTTATGGTTCATATATTCATTTTCCTATTTTGTAGACAACATGTTAACTTTACGCATACGCAACTATATCAGATCTCTACAAAGCCTGTTTAGTTTTATTTCTTAGTTCTCTTTATAGCTAGCCTATCTTTGGTGAATCTCAAGTCTGTATTATGTAAATCTATCAGTTATTAAACTATGTGCGAAGATTATAAACGCAGAAGTTATTTTTATCTCTATATTTGATCAGCACAGATCATTACAGCAACGTTCTATTAATATTGCAGTATATAACATTGTTACATTGTAGCAATGTTGTTGTTAAGTTTATGTATTGTATGTTGGTCGGATAGACACATAAGAATAGACTGCGCATTCCTATAAAGTTGACACTATCAGTTCAGAAAGATCTCTCTCTCTCTCTCTCTCTCTCTCTCTCTCTCTCTCTCACTCACTCACTCACTCACTTATTAAATATCAAATTGAAGAGAGATACTAATGTATGATTCATAATTTTCTTTCTATCGGAGTTTGAGAACAATATTTACAGCTCCCTCTTATTCCAAGTAATATTTTAACGCGGTCCTCACTTGACATGTTACAAACTTTCTATAACAAGTTATTATATAATAAATTTAAGTTGTACACCAATATAATAAATTTAAGTCTTTTTAGCTGTAAAAAATTGACCAATTACAGTCAAAGTGAGAAGAACGATCGACTATAATGGGTCAATTCCTTACGATTTACATAGGATATAAAGCTGAAGTAACGACTTATTATAGAAAGCTTATTAAGACAGTTTTACGTATAAGAAACGACCACGAATACATCGACTTGTATCTTACTACGTGTGTATTCCAAAATTTCCTGCCAGTACTGAAAACCTCTATAATGCTCGTGACATAAACTATAGAATTTCAGTCTAGCAGTCAATTTTGGAACACAGCCTATACGTCTAGGAGTAAAACGACGAATCGAAGGTGAGAAAAGTTAGCCACGCAATACACTTACTTGGTGGCAACGGGTACCAGGGTCCAGTCGTATCCTTGAAGAACCTTGGCGACGGCGGCACTGATACCTTCGCCGCCATTGGCGGCCACCGTCGCCGCGGCGGCGGCAGCGGCTGCGACGGCCGTTGCCGACGTTTTACCATTTCCATTGATACTGTTATTGTTATTGTTTCCGCCCGCTGGCGAAATCGACGCGCCGCTGCTCTCCGGCTTGACGTCGTTCATCTTCATCCCCTACGTCGCGTACGTCGCGCGAGCAACAAATTCCGCAAGGTCGTCGAGAGAGTGGTCGAAGGATGCCGTATGATCGCGCACAATCAGTCTTGTCGATTTATCGCGGACGACACGTGGAAAGAGTACGTCTCATCTCGTATCAGCCGCGACGAGGAGTAGACTCGATCGATCAGTTTGTCATCGCCGTATGTGATATCGCTTTTGTTATCGCCTTATCATCGCAGCGAGCGCGTGAACTTCCGTTTTTCCGCGATTCTTCCCTCTCGATCTGACAACAAGTTTCGTTAGCCGCCGATTTCTGCTCGAGCCTCTTTCCCTCTCCCTCGTGGAATTTCGGGTAATCGATATCGCTGTACGATTAACTCGCGACACCGCGTATCTCGCGCGTGCACGCGCGCGTGATTCCGTGTAGCGTATTCCTCTATCTGCGTATCGGTTGGCTTTTCGCTCGTCGGCAGTTCGCCGAACTCGCCGTTGTTGGTTCTTATCTACGCTGCTTCTCTTTGTCCGTGTCTCGAAAGTCGCGCGTCTGGTCTGCTTCCCGAGAAGGCGAGATCGGAACTGCGTATCGCGTGAAATCGTAATAGGCAGTTTTCCACGATACTCTCTTCTCCCTCCTCTTTAGATCATTGCACTTTTCCTTCAGGAAAGACTTCTCGTTCCGCTCAGGTGCGGATAACACGTGACTCGGTAGACAGATACATACCACTGACGGATTCTCGTATCTTAATTACGGTTCACCATTCGTCGTGTACTCTTCGAGAAGTAAAACGAGTGCGATAAATAGGAGCCCGTGTAACGTCACCAGAATCGAAATGATCAGAAAGCGGAATCCACGAGGAGTCGCTGCGACGATCCCGACAGATCTCGGCTCGTTCGATCGTATAGGGAACCGTTAACTCGCGTGCCGCCAGACTACGACCTCGCACCTTACCGTCTCGAGGAGTCTTTCGTGTGGCGTCGAACAATTTCACACATCGAGAATACCGGGATCTCGCCGGACCGGATCACGAACGGGGCGCGCGCTCGCATTACTCGCGGTAACTCGCGCCGCGTTCAAGCTCTCTCGGGGTTTCGGCGGGTCGCTTGTCGCGCGATCGGCGCTCGAGTGAGGTGGTTGCATCGCCTCGGGGCAGTTTCCACCACGAGGCCTGACATCGTTCACTCGGCACGGCTGGCTCGTTTTAGGGGCGGGGCGAAGGCAGCGCGCTGGGTAACACTTGTTGCTCCGTGAAGTCACGGCAACGGTCGCGTGCACCGGGAGGGAGATGACGACGGCCGCGGTGGAAGTGGCCGGGGATATCTAGCGGGTGGAAGCGAGACGAGGAGAGGCACGAGGCATTTGCTCCGCGTCGGCGTATCTCGCGGCCGCGGCCGTCGTTGTGTTTCCCGGCCTCGTCGTCGCCTCGAGGAACGCGGCCAAATAAGGCGGCACTCGCGAGGTCGTTACATTTTTTTTTCTCTTGCTTTTTCGTATTGTAATACACCGTCAATGGAAAGATTCCACGTTATCGTAATCGACGTACGCAAATGTAAGCTTCGCCATGTAACTGTAATAATTGTAATACTTTTTTAAATTTAGACACGATCGATTATTGTGATGGAATCTTAATTAACAATTATAAATTGAAATTAGATCGACGAAGACACATAATTAATAGAAGTAATCCTGTTTTCGGGGTGAAATTAACAGTAATTATGAAAGAATTGTTGTAATTAATAAATGAATAATTAATTAATAAACGGAGAGCTGCTAGAATTCTTGTTCATTGAAAAAAAGAAATGAATTCTCAAGTATTAAAAAAAAAGTCATAAAAGCTCTTTCTTCGGGCGAGTATGCAATAAAAATTATCAAAGAAATATATGTGATCTAAGCGGAGTACATAAAAAGTTTTACTACGAAATAAAGTCTCGAGTATCAAATAAACATTACACTTGTGTGACGCATTAAGCGTTCAATCACCTTTTTCCGTTCGACTTAATTTTCCAGAACGAGTTCCATTAATGTGTGTTATACGGTCTTCAAATTTCCTCCAACACTTTTTATTCTAATACAAAGCGTTTCTACTTTTTGTCCCAAGATTGCATTCATAAATGCTAAAGATTGGAGGATAAAGAATGCGGACATCCCATCTCGTTGACTAAAGGAAAGGACGTGTCCTGTGACAATGTTGCCACCATCTGATTGCAAGCCTGACATTTTTTTGTGCGAGAAACCACTCTCGCTCGTCTCACTGACCGACAATCAGACGTTAATAATATCGCGATTTCTTTTTCTCTCTCTTCTCTCTTTCTCTCTTTCTGTTCTCGGATAGATCATCTCCCCTTCCTCACGATACCACGTTCCCTTCCCCTTCGGGGAAGATCGCCGGTCATTCCATTTATATTTCGGTGCTCTTTGCTGACAAGAGAGTTTCCATGGCTACGATATATTCTGCGGGAGGATGGAACCAATCGTATTTCTGCTTGCTCCACCTATCTCTCGCCTCGTCCCTCTTCTTCTCTTCTTCCTGCCATCTCCTTCTCACCTTCTGTAATTCTTCAGTACTTCGCCGTTCCTGGTCGCGATCGTCTTCGTTCCTCCGACGTGGTCCCGTCGATTGGTCGGCCGCAATTATGACGTCGCGTGGAGGAGAGTACGCGCCGCAACAAGACCGGTTGCATTCACGACTGCACGCTGCACTCATCGGCTGACCCTCGCGGCGACCGGACATTTGCGCGTTTTGACAAGGAAACGAAAGCTTCGATGCAGAGACGAGTCTGTAGTTCGCGAGGATCACTTTTGATGTCATTTTGTATTTAAAGCGAATCTATAGCAAGTGAATTTACCTCCGGTCTTTTTGTGTATGGATTCTTTTCGGCTGATAGTACAGAGAGAACATAAACGTATAGATATACAAAAGAAATAAACATGTGTAGAATTTTTGTAAAAAGGCTGAATTATAGTATCACCAATAAATATCAGCTCTACAGTTTGGAAAATTTTTCACTTTTAATAAATTTTGTGATTTTTTTACAATTTTTTTGTAAATCTCTTTTCGAAATGTTATTAATTATCCTAGTAATTCTTATTTTTCGAAAAATAAAATATAAAGCCGTTCTTTGTCTATTGTAAAGTGAGTTAGAATATAATTGGTTATTTAATTAACAGATTAATTACGCTTATTACAATATATAGCGTAAATTGCGGCGTTAATTCTTGAAGGAATATACTTCTTTTATTATTTTTATTAACATGGTATAATGAGGACATCTTCTTTAATTGTCAATTGCATTTGCATCTTTGAACGCACATAAATCTTGACGCCTATTGGTATTCTCAGGCAACTGTCTTTGGAACGCAACTCGAGTCATTAATCAAGTCGGTTGTAATTAATGATTTCGTAAGCATCAGGCCGGGAAGCCCGAGCGAATTAATTAGAAAGCAATAGCAATCGGCTGAGTTTCACAATGAAAATTAAGCGTAACGAGAAAGATTTGCAGATAAAGAGAACGAAGCTGCGTTCTTATATGCAGTCAATTTTCGTAAACAAAGAGAAACGTTAAATATCGATCTATCTTACATTATTTTATTTAAAATAATAACATACAGAATATATTATATTTCATGGAACTGGATAATGATCATGTGTTTTTTTCCCTAAGATGGAAACGTAAAATGTAAACATTTTTATCACTGAAGGTAACGCAAATATTTTTCACTTCTCACGTTTTCGCCTTAGAGAAAAAGTTACGTGATCCCTATTCAATTTCTGACGTGAGTGAGATTAAGCCGTAATTACACTAGCGATTGTGCGACTGTAATTGACAATTGAGGATTACTTTTCAACCAGTTAGACCGTTAGAGCAAAGCAATCGGTGACTGCTTTGCTCTGATTGGTTGAAAAGCAATCCTCAATTGTCAATTACAATCGCACAATCGCTAGTGTGATTACGGCTTTACGTTGTTCTTGCCGAAAATAATTTAACTGCGATCGGAGGAAAAATATTCGATCGACGCGCGCGGCGCACATCCGTGCGTGTTTGCCGACACGCGTACACCCGTATACACGTGTAGCTATCGGCCTCATGTACTACGCAATGACGTTGCCAGGACGCGATGATGACGGCGCAGAACGTCTCGAGGCTCGTGTCTCCGTTGGGGGTCCGTGCACGAGTCGCCGGTACTCGCCACCCGGGGGGCTACATGTGTCGGGTACCCGGCTCCACCGACCCCCGTTCCCCGCCCACGAGATCCTTTCAAGTGCCCGACGGCACGTCGTCCCGACCCCCAGGAATTGCTGGAATTATTATTTTATCACTCGCGCGCAAGAGAGTCGCATATTCGATAATCTTCATCCTTCGATCCACCATCGGACTTTCCAATGACAACCTCCCTCCTCACCGTTCCTAATTCTGTTACCTATAATTAACATTTACGAAAATTAATGGCACAAAAGTGAAAAACTCTTTAAATTCTTTGGAGTGAAATGTCTTAGTTGAAAAGAGTGAAAATTGCGAGCTATGGTCTTGAGAGACTCAATTTGCAATCTTTAAGAGTGATATTTCACTCTTCAGGGTGAGATTCACTCAACAATTTTAGAAAGAGTATTTTTCGAAAAACATATATATTAGGATAAAGTAGTGGAAGTAATTTATTCAAATCTAAAATAAGTGTTTTTACTTAATCATTTCATAAAAAATGCAAGTTTTGCTTTTATATTCTCCAACCTTTACTCAATGTCTTCTTGACAAATTATATCTTTAAATTATATCTCGTAATTTTTTTATTAAAAATTATTAAATTCTTTATATTATAAATTTGTTATTACTGTGTTAGAAAAAAGAGAAAAATCTGATTTTATTTATTTATTTTCATTTTGAACTATTCTTCATTGAAATACCAATATAGCTTCGAATATTTGTAATAATCGTCTCGAAATAAAGAGACACGAATGCGAAGCAAGTGCGAATGTTTCTTCGGATGGAAACACTGAGGCTGCGCCTCAGGAACGGCCCTGAGAAAGAGAAACGAATTCTCGCTTACGTACATCGGGGAAAGGCGCATATTGACACCACGTGCGCGCGCGCCGGGATGTTTATCCCGGCAAGAGCAAAATTCCGGCTTCGTGAAATCAATATTATTGTTCCCGTCGGGCTAAATTTGCATTGCCGGTGCACCGAGGCCGGTACATAATACGAGCGCGCGTCCGGACAGACATTTGGAGGGTGCGCGGACAAACTTGTATATCTCGAGAAATGAGCACAGAAATGAAGAGTGTTAATCGTTACGTCGGTTCTAATACAAATTTATTTTTATTCAGGCATATAGAAGTAAAGACAATAAATTGTATTAGACGAATCATTGGAACAATACTTTATATCTTTTATTATGTAATTATATTAATTATTAGAAACATTTATCATATAATTTATATTTGTATTATACAATTTATATATGCATCACATCTTTATTATATTTATACTATTATATTTATTTAATTTAAAATATAGGATAAATGTTTAATATTTGTGATTGTATGTATAGTTGCTGTAATGTTAGTAATAACTAATAAATAATTACATTTATATAATACATTTATATATAATTCTACTAAAAAATTTTGGTTAAATTGATACGGTACATGCAACTATTTTTTCCTCAATGTATGAGAGAAATTACATTCATTTTTCAAACGCCCCGGCAAAATTGAAAAAGATTTTCGCTGATGTCGATTTACAAATGAATTATCGCCTGTGATTATCTTTTATGCTTATCGAACGGGAAATGCTAAACGTTTCAGTTTCGTCGTGTCAGTCTAACTTGCGTTTCAACATAGACCATTCATATTCGCGCACAATTACGAAAGATTGAAACAGATTGGAACGACGATCTGTACTCTCGGCGTGCGAGTACTCCGGATAGGAATGTCGTAATCTTTAATCCGTGAGGGGACCCGAGGGTCGCGCATTCGCGGTGCATTCACGCGCCAGTGGTAGCACGAGTTAATCCTGCAAAGTGCGAGAGCAAGAGATGCTCTCTTTGATCTCTCCACAAAAGCCGCTACACGGCATTGACCGTGGTTTATATACGCCCATGGTTTGTATGAGCCACTGTATTTGCTAGCTCACTCATTCATTAAATTCGTTGTATAATTAGGCTCGCCTTTCGGGGCCGTCGGAGGAAGGAGGGAACGACTTCGGGACTCGGTGCTCTTCTCTTTTCTTTTCCCCGTGAAGATCTCGCTGCTCTATTTTGTCGCACGCACTTTTTTCGCATTCCGCCCCGACGCGACGTTATTCTCGCGCATTTACGTACAGAACATACCGAAGAAAAATGTTTCAAGAGCGATGAATATTTGGGGCGAAGTGGATAATTACTTCGTTTTTGAAAAGAATACAATCATTGATGATGGAGACATTTACGAGACATTTGCTAAAGATAGCAGTTTGATGATAGTTTGAGGATTATCTAATTAGTCGCTCATGCACTGAAATAAGTACTAAATTTTAAGAAATTATTTGTATGAATTGTGTGTATCAATTATAAATGTTTATTAAATATAAAGATATTTATTTCATACGAGAGTCACATTAATTTGAATTAACTATTACTTTTTACTTTATTGTTTTGATGATTAAATATAATTATTTTTAAATCTGTGTTTGGCATAATATTTTTACATACTTTCGTAAAATCGTTTTTTTCCGACTGTAAATAATAGTTACGCTCAATTATATGAATAAAAATCTTTCGAGAATCCTTATTATTAATCATTTATTCGCATATATACGGTCAATAAACTAGCGGTCTACTTTCTGAAGACCTTTTCACGTACGATCTACTCGTTTGCGACAACAAACGAACGGTAATTAGTCGACGCTTTGTCGTGAACAAATCGCAAAATATCGTAAACCGGATGCGGATTATCTGTCAATCTATAGATTCTACATTATTATGATACAATGACGTAAAAATCCAAAAAATGTTCTTGTATATAGCAAAAATTTTTTGTTGATATTAACTTTTTTAGTTGATTTTTTGGCTGATACTTTTAGTATTATTATAATAATTACTATAATAAAGTTGTTGTACAAAACCAAAAATATCCTTAAATTTTCCCTTGAAATATCTCCGAAATAATTTTCTGACACTTTAGTATATATGTATAGTGCAAAGAAGTTTTTTTGTTCACACTTAGAAAATTATTGCTATTCTGATCATTAAAAAGAAAAATTGACTTTAAGTTAACTGAAGAATCTGCCACAGTATTCGATTTTTCTGCAATTATTCTTCAAAAGCGGACCGACCTTTTCTGCGTATTTAGTAAAATAGAAGAGAAAAATAAAATAATCATCATGTGGCGCGCCTTCGTGATTTCACAAAATCTCAGATTTCATGGTTTTCCAGAAGGAAAAGGAGCGCCGGAGATTTGCGAAGAATTGCGGTGTAAAGACGCGCTGCAGGATTGCATCGCAGGATACGTTAAAGGCCGACGCGGGAAACCGACAACGACGAAGAGAAAGAGAAGAGAATGAAGGATAGTGAAAAAGAGAAAGGAGGAAGATCTTACGTGTCTCCCCCACCAGAGGTAGGTGGTCCACGGAACCGCCTCCGCGGATGGTCTGCCATCCGCCCGACGGTTTCGGTGCGTGTGCCAGACGTGCGCTCGTCTCGTTTTGCCTCGGCCTCTTCCATCCCGTGGACCAACCTGTGCAGCTGAGCTGTGCGGACGGCTTTCTTCGCCTCCCTGAATCCATCGGGTCCATCGTCGCGTCTCTCCTCTCAGCCGATCAGTCGGCCATCGGAGTTTACCTGATTCGCCAGTACCGCCGCGCCGTCGCGTCTCCCGATCTCGGGTATCCATTCGATGTCTCGAAGTAGAAATCGGATAAAGGACGACACGGCGTCCCAATTTACATTACCTCTCGTCTTTCGATAACCGATAACAAGATAAAGAAAGAAAGAAGCAACGATAAAGAGACGCCGTGATCGAACTATGACACGACTCGATGACCTCAAGGTCGACCAGGACGAATCTTCTCCCGTTCGATGTGGCATCCCTCGAAGTAACGTACCCCACGACGACTTTTGAGCCGTCTCGGCCTCGAACGCGAGAAGGACACGGAATCCTCGAGAAAGGATCCATTGAAAGATAAGTCGAGAAGCTGCAGAGTACGAGGGATTTCCGAAGAGTGTATCCCTCTTTTTCTCTCAGCGCATCGCGTTCCGTCGCATCGGTTTCCGTTTTAATATTTCTCGGAGCTGATAACGAAGTGAATCTCTGAGTGATCTACGAGTTCGCGGGAATCGGTTTAATCAATCAGGATAAGAAAAAAAAAATATATTCGATACGGATACGGTCACATGAGGTCGACTAAGTAGCCATAAAGAAGATTTGGCGACCTATCCGACCCGATAAATCGCGCTATGATAACCCTCGATTAATTATCGAGCTCCTCTCTCTTCCTGCGACGGAGATTTCTTACCGAGAAACTCTCTTATCTGCGACTTATATCCACGAGATGCATTTTACGTCTCGTCGAAATTTGCCATTTGATTTCTCGATGGTTATTTAAATGATATTTTTGACGTTCGTGTATCAAGTACATTTTTAAGTTTATAAATCTTTGTCATCTATGAAAAAAAAAGCTTTTGGTGATCGTGGGCATCGACGGCCATCAGTGAGAGTGTCTTTTACGTTTAACGGAAATAAAAATGGAGTCCCATCATAATAATAACGGCTTGCCATCATTGGAGTCATTGGAGAATAAAGCTAGCTCTTCCAGCAACGAGCATGGCAACAATAATTCCTTGGACGATGCCGTAGGCAAATTACTACAAGGTATGCATTTTATAACTTAGCATATAATCATGTAACATAAATTAATAATCAATGAAAATTGAAAAAATGAGCTCAGCAAGTTGACAGTGCAATTAACAATTTCATATTATTTGTATTTCAATCAGTTAAGTTGTCCAGACATTTCAATTTACATTAAATCACCTTTTTAGGGTCATCCTTTAATTAATACAAGTAATACAATTGTTAATTGCTCTATCAACTTTCCATTACTCCTTTTTTCAATTTGTATTAATTGTTAATTATTTGAACTAGTTTAGTTACTTTTTGATAAATTAACAACTTTAACATACAATCATGTAACATAAATGCATTAAAAAAATTTATGACAATGAGAGTATAGTAACAGTTTCATAATGAGCAACATCTTGAAAAATAATGACAATTAAATGACAATGATGTATAAATATGATAGAAAGAACGATTTTGTCGAAAGATCTAAAATTTTTTTACGCTAGACGAAGAGCTGAAAATAATTTTATTGGACTATCAAAATAAGTCAATTACATACCTCAGCTAATTCCACGCAAGGAAAAATTATGGCAATAAATAAAAAACAAATACTACGAAATATCGCTCTTTAAAATTGGTCGACACTTGATAAAAAATTGATTATTAGTTTTTGTCTGTATAAATTTATAATAAATATTTATTATCTGTTTTGTTATGAATTTTTAAAGAATGTAAAGAGCACGTACCGTCAAAAAGAGACGTTAAAAAAATAATAAAATATTTACAAAATATATTGAAAAATGATTTACATTAGTGTAACACACTTGAATGCGATATCGGATATGATAGCGAAATAAACTGCAAATGAAAATTGGCAAATGAAAAAATATATCATCCGAAATAGCACGTGAAATGCGCGTGTCCATTCGTCGCCTCGTTCCTTTTCGTTGCAGTCTTTATCGAGTCATTTAGGGAGGCAAGGCGACTTGGTAATTGGCGCTGAAAGCCCGCGTCGTCAGCCGGCACCGTTCTCATCTCCATTTGGCCGTACGCCGATTTATCCGGGCGATATTCGCGAGAGTAGAAAGCGGAAAGCAGGGGTGGAACCCGACGAACAAGGCGGAGAAAGAGCGAAAAGCGGCAACGACGCGGCGGAGCGGAGTCGGACGAGACGGAGAAATATAGCCCGAGAGGATCGTCTCCTCGCGAGAACGATCCTCAGCTATATACATATTTCTCCGAGGGAGGGGAAAACTCGCGAGGGCCACGGCAGGTGCTGCGAGCAGAGCGAGACGAGGCGTGCGCGCCTGCCACCGCCGCTAATTATGTTAGTACCGAATTAAATCTGAAAGATCACTGCGGGAGGGGGCGCAGGGCCCATGATTTACGGCGCGCGTCGAGACTCGGATCTCTGCGACTATACGGAGTTTCGCCAGAGATATGGGCACGCGATCATCGCCAGGGAGCGGCGGAACCCCGGACGAACAGACAGGTGGAAATCGCCTGAGGATGATATCTCTACCGGACTAATTCTGTCCGCGATGTCGGACAATCGCGACGCGAATAATTACGAGGATTAATGGGGTCTGGTCGATGTAGCGGATTAGAAGGAAGAGTCGCGGACTCGTCGCCATCGCTCTTTTCTTGAGTCTGGCTATTCTAGTTTAGTCTAGATGCGAGATATACGTATATCAGACTGTATCAGCCCTTCGATGCCACTCTCATTATGGCATACTCGGGGGTTTTTTTTTACTTTATATCCCCCTGATAGAAATATCATTCATTTTTTAGCAGTTACTGCGGACAGTTGTCTCTGTCTATAGTGAGAAGTAACTTAGAACTCTAATTAAAATGTAACACTTTGCCTGTAATTATTACGCACAAAAAATATGCAAAATATATATGAATCCATTTACTAAACAAATAATAACGGAACAATAAATGGACTACTCAAAATTTTAATTAATAATAATTTATTAATACTAAATAATAACTGAGTAAATGCTTACGCGAATTGTACATGCTTTTACCAGGAAAATTGCTTTAGTTACTGAATAAAACTCTATCAAATCTTGTCCATTTTCTATACAATGTTGCTACAACTAATGAGAATATAGTAATATTAGATAATAATTAGATATCTAGGAAAAGTGCGTATATTTCTACCAGGAATACTATTACCTTTTTATTAATAAAGATACATATACCATATATTTGCTTATTATTGTTATATTCTTTAATGCCTAGCATTTAGATTAAAAATAAAATTTTTTGTATGATTTTTATGCAATATTTTTACACGATATTCAGATACAAAAGTGATACCAAAGAGTTGGTATTTCTCGAATCGTTCATTATAAAAACTTTTTTCGTGATCTTTACAAATTTATTCAGATACTGTACTCTTTAAATTAAATTTCTAGGAAAATTTCCAAGAGGATTTTAGAGTGTATTTCGACGATAACCGATCCACTCGAAGAGCGATGCCGCGAATCATGACACGCTCCCGTTTTAAGATTAAATTTGAGATATGTTTAGTTAGATTAGACAGTGCTAGAAACGACAGCAGAGTGACGGACACTTGAATCCGTCGATGGTAGAAGTTGAAAAACTGATGGCACGCGCGAGTCGTTCGTGAACATCGCACGCAGGAATGTATAATCTAAATAGTTTATCATATAACTTGAGAAGAGACAAGCCCGCGTCTGCACCACGAATAAATATTTGATCCACCGGTGCTAAGCAATACATTTTGCTACAAAGTGTCCACTCGACGAAAATACAGGTGTCGAAATTACTCTGTCATGCGCGAAGCGCCAACGTGTCTCGGACAGTTATATCTCCTGGTTTTGCAACAAAGTTATGAAATTATGCAAATTATTTCGTTTATCGATGTGTTTTACATATCTACTTAAATTTTTAAATACTTTAGCAAAACTTTTCTTTCTATGCATTAAATAAGACTTCGTAGTTGTATGTTAATGAGCGCTAATTTTTTATTTTACACTGTTATGTAGCTATAGTGTTTATGGCATTCAAAATTTTATATCAGATAAATTACTTTTTACAAACGTTTTAAAAAATTTCAGCACCGATCACTAAGGATCATCAGAGCGATCGATGTATTAAAATACAGACTTTTTAATTAGTCGTATTTAATCTTCCATCGCCAACGTGAATTTTAACTCTTTCGTCAGCAGTAAGAGTCTTCGAGAAATAATGCACATTTTTTATTTGTTGATTTTATATATAAAAATTTTTTTTAATTCTGATATACCTACACTTGTCGAAGTTTTAACAACGAGTTTTTACTGTTATCAGTTAGAAGAATGTAACTCGATATCTTTTTACACATTTTTGACGTATATTTTTTTAAAGATCTTTATTATTTTATATATATAATTAAAAAATGTATAATTAAGAACATACATGACAAATGATAAAAAGCCACAAAAGGATATCACGTGGAAGCAAAGTTTACAAAAGTCGTAACAGTTTGAATTTAGCAAAGAGTCAAAATCATTGTCTTAGTCTTCTTCTATAGGTAGACAATTTAATAAAAATTCAGCCACCTAATACGATTGAAATTTTTTTTACCAAAGTTAAAAATATGGAAGATGATGAAAAGTCACAAGAGGATATTATCATATATGAAAGCAAAGTTCGTAGCAGAAAGCAACAGTCGTAGCAGTTTGAATTTCACGAATAGTCAAATTGACTGTGTCTCGAGCTTCCTAGTGTTAAAGACTTTAATTGCTGGCGAAGGATTAAATTTTGATTGTCTCGTCTCAATCAATACTAAATAAATGCACTCGTTTCACTGATCGTTTCACATTAGTATCACGCGAATACTCGTCGCAACATGAGATCGAACAGTGCGCGGCGCGAGTCGAGGATCGTCGGGCACGTGGCGACAAGCCGCGATATCAAACATCGACGGGACGAGGTGTCGAAGCGTTTAAGAGGGCCTCGTTAAAGGCGGTAGGATTTGTAACAGGCGGATTTGTAAAGGAGTTAATGTAGCAAGAGTCAGACGACAGGTCGCCATTGACGTCCGAGCACACCGGTTCATTCACCAGACCGCACAACCCGCCTATTGTAGCACGGGCGCGCTAACTACGGCCCTGATCTCGCTACTCAAAAGCCATTCACGATCCTGAAAAAAAAAACGAGCGGTTCTCGGTCACTCGATCCGATCCGCCGATTCACCAAGTCGTTACGCTAATTAGTCATTACGTTAAATCGAAAGGGGAGGAAGTGGTGGAAGAGCCTAAAATTAAGCGCGATCTGGCGAACGACTCTCTCATATTTCGCGATTTAGGATTTATCATTTAATCGCCGAGTATAAGGCTGTATTTCGATGCCAGAGATCGATTAATTCACCAATAACAAATATGTTAACGTCACTTTGAGATAAAGCCTCGTTGTATTGCTAATCCCCGCTTTATCTTTAGACGAATATAACAATCTTCAGATGAACAGTTATTTTCTAAGTTTTATTTGCAAGACATATTTTTACTTATTTTTTTAAAGGATATCGTACTATTAATTGTACAGAAAATTAATAATGATACGGTCCTGGATTATTAAATATTAAACTTAATCCTAGAAATCAGTTTGATTTTATATAGTTTAATTTATAATGTAATGGTGAACAAAAGACGTTACGGACATAGACCCAATAATTTTTGAGCTATGATTAAAGGTACAAAACTTATGCTTTGTGAACCACCTTTGATAACATTATAATTTAAAAAGTATTTATTATTAAGCATTGCGTTTGATATTTTTTGATTACCAAACAAGCACATTATATGTGAAAACTAACTTATTTTAATTTTCTGAATTCAATTTTTTTACATATAAATTTTAACGCAAAGTCCTTTATTAAAAAGACATGGAATGCAAAGAAAAAAAATGTTTCTTTTTGCCTTTCTATGTAAGGCTCCAGCGACTGAGGAGGTTCACCTATATAGTCACTTATTAAGCCTCAAAAAGGGGCCGTCTTAACTAAGGCCTTCTACACGCCTAATTTACCACGTACGCTCGGTTCGCGCGAAATTTTCTCTATTCCCGTCGCGTTCCTCGCAAAGCCCTTCCGCGTTTCCGTGTAAAATTGTATTTCGGCCGCGGCTATCGGTGCAGGCGTTGACGAAGGACCTCTCCCAGATGCTGAAAGGCGCCGACACAAGTGCCGCGTCAGTGGACCGTGGACCCACGGTAATTAGCTCCCACCAGCCTCCCGGGTTGACGCTTCGTCACGTGCACCGTCTTTCCCCCGTTTACCCTTGTTGACTCGATCCCTGAGTGCTTAATGGTGATTAAAAACACAAAAGTAATTCAATGTAGTTAAACTGAGATTTAAGCTCTTTCCTCAATCTCATATTTTTAATTCCTGCACGTATAATGCTCTCTTCTTTCTTTTCATCTTTTTTAACATATAATTATATTAATATTGTTAAAGTAGTACAAGATATTGAGACGGAAGAGAGAATAAATATATATTATATATATATATATATATATATATATATATATTCATTTGTTAAGAATAATTTTTTTAATTTTTGTTAATCTTTACATAAAATATCAAAATGGTTCTAATTCTGAATGTGTCTCTAATACTCGATTCTACTAATGTAGATTTTAATCTCGCTTTAATTTAGCCTTTATTTGATCTTTTTCTAATTCTTTAGAATTAAGTAAAAAATAAATAATAACTAAGATTAAAGTTAATCGACAGTAGAAAGGGACATAAGTAATTTTCAGTCGCATGAAGAAAAGGATATGTTGTAAGACGAGATTTTAATTGCTAGCTCTAAAGTCAATTTCATCAATCTTATATACACGGGATATTACGCAATTTCCGAACCGACCTAATTACCGCCTTACATACCAAGCTCTTCCTCATTCCTCTAAATCTGCCTTCACCAATTTGAACCAGACTGCGCTCTTTCGAACTGGGGAATTAAGATTTAGGAGACCACAGTGAGGGCACAGGACAGATTTACATAAGTCGGTATACATTTGTTCGAAGGGAGACAAGGTTTTACGACCTCGAGCTTGCTACGAGCTCTTTTCCCACGAAGTAAAATATAGGAATCCACATCCGGAGCTGAATCCTTATTAAGCGGCGCGGAATTTTCGGTAATCCGGAGCACTTACGTCACTTAACGTCTCAACCACATAAGTAGGGCTGTGCTTTGTAATATATAAACTTCGATACTATCATATTCACTGATCTGTTACGCCCGAAATTTAATTCAATCGAATTTTCTAAATGTAAGATAGACGATAAAAGAAATGTAGATGCAAAGTAGAAAATTATTCAAAGTTAATATTTTTCTGGTTAAAATTAATGTTCAATTCAAATTAGAAAACTCGGTATTCACAAAATCGGTACATGCATTTTTTATTTCTTAATTTTCCTCGATCGCATACCATATATTCATAGGTTAATGATACTTATGGTCATCTTTCTAATAAGGAATAGTTTTTTCTTTACTGAAAATTGTATATACGGAATCTCGAGCAATCCGAGATTTCAATTAGCTATTTGCATTTGAGAAAAAATGACTGTTGGATAGTAATAATAATTAATTTCTTATAATGTGAAGGAATCACGAGAGAACAATAAAAAGAGCATGCTGCTCGTTCTCCCTCCCCCTCTCTCTCTCTCTCTCTCTCTCTTTCTTTTTTTTCTTCCTCTATCTCCTTGTACGATTTCCAGGTCGTAAAAGTCCTATCGTGTTCTTTATAAAGAAGTTAAATAAAAAAGAGACAGAAGAAGGGAAGCGAGATAGCGCTAACAAATGTTGGTCGAATCGGCCGCACGAGCCACGAGGATACAGGTGTAGTTTTATCTCGTATTATATTCCCTTACAATCCGATTGCACGGACAGGACTACTTCCGGTGCTTATGCAAGGACGACAAGAGCCAAACAATTCCGTTATCACGTGCCGTTTATAACGTACTTTTCGTAGTTGCGCTTTCCTTATGATGAAATAAAATATATCAAGACAAACTGATTTTAAATTAAATCAGATACAGATATTGTATGAAACGACGAGAAAAAACACCGAGAAATAAAGTCGAATTTTTCTCCATTGACTATCGAAAGATTATCTAAAATTCACATGTTTTTATTGAAGCTTATATTAGGCTAACAAAGTTATAAATAAGTTATTAAATTTAAATTAAATCAAATAAATTTATCGAATTTGATATAATTTTTTTTCTAGCGTATATAATGATACTCGTCAGAGTAATTTGTTTCTTCCAAAAATATTTCGGAAATTGTATATAGATTACGAGTCCCATTATATGCTGCATACTTACAGGGTACGATTGGACACTACTTCCGGTGACTTCGCGCGCCGGCGGACGAAGAAGCGCCCACGTGAAACGGCCGATGAACGCCTTCATGGTGTGGGCGCAGGCGGCAAGGCGAAGATTAGCTGACCAATATCCGCAATTGCACAATGCTGAGCTGTCGAAGACGCTGGGAAAGTTATGGAGGTAATCTAGCTTTGACCAGATCTAACTTTGTGGGTCTGTCGTAGAGTGGGATATAGAGTCGTAATTTGTATTTTGTTACAGAGTGATTTTAAGGTCTTTGCTTTAAATTATCGTACCTTTCATTTTATACACACATACATATGATAAGATTAATCTGTAACAGGAGTAAGTAAAAGATACTTCAGTTTTATATATACATATGTACGTGTATTAATTTATTCTTCTCGAATTTTTATTTCTCAATGTACATCGTTATTGTCTACAAACCAAAATATAATTCTGAAGTTCTATAAATATGTTTCGTAGCTGTAAACATACAATAATACTTCAAAACGCTTTTTGAAAATTGATTATTCTAATCTATGATTATCTAAAGAACAAATAAAGCTTTCTCCTAAAAGTAGAAGAATCAAACGGAAGAATATTAATATTAATAAATCATTTTTTTTTAAATCAAATCAATTCATCTATTCTGCACGGAAAGAATGATTTGGTTCAATCTAAAAAAAATTAAATAGACATAGATTTAAAAATAATTTTGTTGAATTATTAAAATAATTATGTATAGCAATTTTAAGAGCATGAGATAGGTAGTGTTGAAAAAAAATGGAAATAATTATTTTGAGATCAGTATTTAGCTAAATGTTATTTTATTTACGTATCATTCAGATTTTTCTAAGATGCATGAGCATCGAACTATGAAATTGTTAGTTAATTTAATTTGTGATATTATTACAGTAGTTCAATTGCGTTTCAGGACCGAAAAATCGTTTCAACACGCAATTTAAATAACTACTAATGTAGAATATAAATTTACACTAAATTATCTAAGCACTTAAGATCCAGCTTGAAGACTTTACTTCTTACTTATCGTATAATCACACTTATAATTAAAAAATTCTTTAAAAGAAATCGCTAAATTTTTTAATATATATTTCAATAAAACTCTATCTTTTCCGTGCGCAAAGTTCGATTCTTGGGCGCAGATATTCCTCACGTTAAATAACAATATCGGAGATTGCGAATTATATTTTGTCGCAGGATCCTGAGCGATGGCGAGAAACAGCCGTTCATCGAGGAAGCCGAGAGACTGCGGAACGCACACAAAAAGCAGCATCCGCACTACAAGGTAAATGACCGCCAAATTAACCGATTGACGACATACAGCCGCAGCGGAATTACGCATTCGCGTCTTAATCGCGCATCATTAGAAATAATATGAAGTATGTATCTCGTGCGTTACGAAATCGCATAACCAGTTCGCGATCGTGCGGACCGATTCGCGCGAGATGGCGGAACGAATTAGCGCGTGCAAAACGCGCATTCGTCTTTCCGAGTGCTCAAGTGGTTAATCGAGGCTCGATCACCCGAGCGATTTGAATCCCACCGCGCCGCGCGTCGGCGATGATTTACGAGAAGGGGAAATGAATTCACTGCGATGAAGCCATCCGTGTCGCCGCTCCATGCGAGGCGAGAAAGTCGAGCAGCGATGATGAGACGCGGCGAACGGGATGCGGAAAAAAGCGGAGCTTTTACCGGTTTCAAGCATATTGTTAAATTTAGTGTCATGTTTAACCTAAATTAAGTCACCACTGCTCCTACTTGTATACTAAAACAAATTTGACACTATATTACGTCGATTTGATATTTATAGTATTAAATTGACACTTATACAAATGCAGATATAATGTACATGAAAAACAGAACTAGACGTGTAAAAGGATGTCTAAAGGTACCTAAATTAAAAAATATATAGCATTAAACGAAAAATGGAAAGAGTAAATTAATGAAAAGAAAAACGCGATAATCAAAATACAAAACAGAGATATAGAACAAGACACAAAACAACCTTAAAATTTTTTTAATGTAAATTTTTTACACGTCATTATATTTTTGTATCCATTTATCATGTATTAATTAATCAATTAATTTAATTCTAAAAATTCATTCATTCTTCGCTGCAATTATATTGGGTTACATCAGAAAATTACACAAAGTATTTTAATATTTAATATACAGCACAAAAAAAGAAAATTTATATACAATTTTTCACTACTTGTAATATGATTCCAGCGAGACGCATCTTGAAGTGACTAATTCAAATACAATGTATCGTTCACAGTATCAACCTCGTCGTAGGAAGCCGAAATCGGACGATCAGATGGGTATTATCGTGCACAGGGGTGGACTTCCATCGCCGGGGACCTCCCTCGACTCCTCAGCCAGTTCCTCTGATTGCACCTACACCCGCCTATATCCGGACGCTGGTGTGAAGGCGTACGATCGACCGACAGCCTATCACGAACCGAAGTCTAGCGCTTACGACTTAGCTCGACCAGTCTGGGTCAACGAGACAGTCGCCAAGTATCCCGTCGTCGATCATCCTAACAAGTCAACGTACGAGACGACAGCTAGAAGCTATACCGAGGCAAAATGCCACGAAGTAGCTAAGTACCATCACGAGATGACCGGCACCAAGTATCACCACGAGATGGTCGGTACCAAATACCATCACCATCATGAGTCGGCGGCGACCAAGTATCCAGATCTGCAGGCCAAACCTTATGATCTACCCAAGTATCCAGAAGCCAAAGGATATCCGGATGGTCTTAAGTACTCCGCGGAAATGAGCAGCGGTGCGGCCGTAGCCGCAGCCGCCGCGAAGGCATCCTACACTTGTGTACATGGACAATACTACCCTACCGCGGAGGGGTACACCGTGCACGGCGAAGAGAACGACTACCAGCCGCAGAGTGTGTCGACACATCCCTCTTTTTACCCTTACATTTCGGCGTCCATGGCGCAACCACCGTACTACATGGGACCTCGATAGATTGTGAACAGAAAGATATAGGAGGCGACACGAGACAATTCTTGAAGATTTTCACAAGACCGAATAAGATTACACGGTGCATATTGAATAAAATAAAATCGTTCTCTTGCCAATTACGACAATATTTCTGATAAATAAAACCAAGATCGTGTCATCCTCCATTCTGACTGTAAATTGTGTTTTACTTAAATCTTGATATTATGCAAGAATTTTGGAGCGATGTGTGTATGTATGCATGGATGTGTGTGCGCTTGATAAATTTCGAGCGTAGACGATCGTTAGAATCAAGCAAGATTCAATTTAATCGGATATCGTGCGCTTAATGAAACTGTAAAGTACTTAAATAATAGCGGTTGTTGTACTTAACAATAAATTGGTAACATTAAATTGGTTAACTTTGTTTTACTAAGCGAGATATATTATTCGATCGCCTTGTAATTTTTTTTTTAATTTATTCTTTTCTGTAAACTCTGTGACAAATAAAACAAATCTATCTAAACACTCTTGAGTGATAAAGTTTAATGCATGATGTTTAAGTTTTGCGAGACTACCAAAAAAAAAAGAAAAACTAGAAAATGTTTTAAACGCAGAACTTACGAGCAGATTTATAAATTACATAAAAAATTATAATAATGTATATATTAACTGAATATATCATTCCACAAGATTTCTAGTGACTAGGAGAAAAATTTAATCATGACTGAGTTAAAATTATAAAAAGAAGGAAAAGAAGAAATACGAAAAGAAGAGAAACATTCAAGCGTCTCATACAAATCTATCTACCTATAATGAGCAAACGGAAAAAAGGCAATCTAATATCACATTTGTCGAGATATTGGCGGCAAGTACCGGTGAAGAAGTAACTATAATATGCTATGTATATATAACGAGATAATTGCTAGGTTAATTATGTAATCATTAACCGAACCAGCGGTAAATCGTTGCTAATTACATCGAACGTGAACGTGTATGTGCGCGTAAGAATGATTCTACAACCAGGTACTTTTTTTCGACGGTGGATATTCCTTAATCTTTCTTCTTAATCCTTTTCTAAACTGGAGTCGCGTCCGATAATAGTTGCCAATTCCTGCACCACGTTTCGATTCGCGTGCATGAATGCTTTCGCGTTCCAGATCATATGCACCAGTATTTCGTCGCTCTTTTCGTCCATGGCGACTTCTGTCGACAGCTGTGGATTGAATCTGTAGTACGGTACGCCGATCATAGAGCACCAGGTGCGAGCGCGATCGACCACGCGACCGTCGCTGGCTGTCGCTTGATCGACCAATAACGTGCCCAACGCTGAAATACCGAACGCAAGCTTGGCGGTGCCCCAGAGGCTGTCCGGTCGAAAAACGTCGATCTCATTCAAGGTGTAGGTAGTCGGTATGAGTCCCGTGCCGAGGGAGACCACCAACGACAGTGGTATCACTTTGTTCTCGCGATTAGTAGCCTTCAGCGCCAAATTATATTCGTGGATCTCAGTCATGGCATCTAGAGTAGGATTGTTAGCAATCAGACCGCCATCCAGGAAACGGCCAAACGCCCGAAAATACGATGGCGCCGCGCCGGTGGCCCTCGCTGCTTTCCAAAGTAACTGCTCCTGCGGCGATAATGTCGACTTGAACATTCCATTCTCCGGTAAATTCAAGATTACACTAGGTGCCTCGTAGTTTCGGAATAAATGAAGATCTACGGGCTTACGATCGGCGAGTACACCTGTAATCATTATTTTTGGTTTCTGGATATCCGCCATGACGGTATGGGCGCCAAGACACTCCTTCAACACCTTCTCCAGACCTTCACTATTGTAAGGTCGCGAACCCACGAAGGCGTTCTCCTTGATGCGAAAATAGAGAGCCTGACATTCCCGTAGAGACTTACCCGCGGCGAGGCCGAGTGCCAGGATACCGCCAGTAGACGTGCCGGCTATCCAATCAAAGCACTGCACCACAGGTTTGCGCAGCACCGATTCGATCTCCAGCAGCGTCTGTATAAGCACTAGTCCCCGAATGCCGCCACCATCGAGACAAAGTAATCTACCACCCTTGATCCGTTTATTATTTCCATGTTCGGCCATCTTCTCCATACCAGATACGTGAAGCATCTGATCGAGAATCGTGCGCGGTACATACTGTGGTGGTTCCGATGGCGCAATACCGGTGTAATTTTCGTCATGCTTGCAGCCGAGATGACAATCTTTCATCTCTGATGGACATCTTTGCGCACCTACAGCATGCAACAGGTAGATTATCTTGTTACCTTCGGTAGTATCAACGTTCGCTTTGTGTCTAGGCGTTTCCGCCTTCCAGTTCCGCGCGTCAACGTCGGAGCCGAAGCCGATGAGTGCCTGTACAATAGCCGGTGTCTCTGCCTCGACCGCAAGATGCAGCGGCGTATTACCGTCGTTATCGACAATGTTGACGGATGCCATATGACTCAGCAGGGCGACCACGCAGGGCAGCCGTTTGCGCATCACCATTATATGCAGAGCAGTACGCCCGTCGAAATTGAGCGCGTCGATGTCGCAGTTGGTGTCGATCAGCGCCGTAATCACTTCGCGACTACGTGACCAGTGCAATGGTGTGCCACCGAACTTCATGTCCTCTGCGTGAAGCACGTTCGGCTTGTTGTGTAAGAAATCGCCAACATAACCGGGATTAGAGGGCTGGCCCTCGGAAGCGGGTATGTTCACGTCGGCACCGATCAGTAGAAGCGCTTTTACGCATTCGGGCTTATCGTTTAGACACGCGACATGTATAGGGGTGTGACCATTGCTATTACGACTATTCAAACTGTTTGGAAGACCCGAACCTAAAGCAAGAATGATCTCTTTGGTGGATGTAGCTGCGTAATGATAAACTGTGTTCGCATTATGATCCAGATGTTCCAACGAACTCTTCGCTGCTATCAGCATCTCGACGGTGCGCAGATTATTAGTCTGTACAGCAACTTGCAGGGGCGAAATACCAGTTTCTGAGTCACCGCTATTGAGCTGACTGTTGACAATTGCGTGCATAAATGCATCATGGATGGCAAAGTAAGCTGCTAAATGTGCTAGAGTCCATGTTGGGTGTTCTACCAGTGTGTCACAGAGTTTTTGAATTTTTCCAATATTGTACATCTTAAAAAAAAAGAATAAGATTAATTATTATCAATTATAAATTAATATAAAATGTTTTAAAAATAACAAATCATTTTTAAATTATATATGAAAGATAAAGATATATAATATATAGGATTATAATTTCTTTAAAATACATTATATATAGATATAGATAAAATATGAAAACTCTTATTACCTCATGCACTATCTGTACAAGTACAGGGACTTTGTCTTTATATATTAAGAATCGTGTCTCCGCACCATCTAGAGTTTCTGACCGAAATAGACTGAAAACAAAATATTTATAAGTTATACAGATATCCAAGTCTCAAAAATTTAATAAAAATCAATAGAAAAATAATAGATAATAGGAAATACAAATATTCTACCACCAGTAGATAAACTCAAGGCAAATATTTTTTTTGTGAGCGTTATCAACTTAAATGGTAATGATTACTTCCAAGAAAACAATAATTATAATTACATACAAAAAATGCTACTGTATTTAAATATAATTTACTTTTTCAAATCTTTTTATAAGTTGGTATATCCACAAATCTATCACAAGCGTCTTCATTACAAGCATTAATCAATTCATTCAAAATTTATTCTATGTCCTAATAAGGTTAAAATATTTCAATCAAAATTACTAAAAATAAATCTCAGATTTACTCATTTATACAATCGCTTCTTCAATAAAATTTGTATACAAGAAAAGAAAATTTCTTGTTTTGAGTACATAATCAGTTTTTGTAAAATTTGTAAAATAAGTATATTTTTTAAGATTATTCTCAAGAAAATATTTTTATTAAAGATAACCATTACTTAAAAAGAAAAAAAAAGAGGAAACTGACAATAAACACTTTATCACTTTTTTAATAATAGAATGATATTTTTCTACATGTATTTATATATATTTCAAAAAAAATTTACAAAATAAATAACATTTGTAATATTCTTTTATGCCAAAATAATAAGTCAATAATAAGGTATACCTGTATGCTTGATGTAAGGTCTCCGTGCATGGCCTGTGCAGGACGATCTCGTATTTATCCTGATTCTTACCGCCAGGCCCGTAGAGAACAATGCCGTCCTCACGGGAGTGTATATGCCGATTACTGTAATGTTCCGGCCGTACCTCCTGGACGACGTTTGGCGGCGTGTCCGAGAAGACAATGTTCCGCAGAACGTTGTTTGCGATCGTGCCGAGCCAGGCCATGATGATACCGGCGCTGACGACGAGACGAGCGAACTGAAGCAAACAGGAATGAAACGCGGTTGTCTCTACCGCGCGAAAACGTTACACAACTTCCCGTTACTCATTGTGTCGCAGAGACACAGCATGACAATTCGCCCGTACTTTGCACTCTGTCTTGTTCTGTCTCGTCACGTTTCACCATTTACGTTATTTCCTCAGGTGAATGATACGGTAACAGTATGGCTAATATGACAGGTAGGGAATCAAGGTTAACGTTAACCGAGTAGTTTCTGTACTTGGTATATATACCTAAATAAAACCACGGCGAGCTGAGAGACCTCCGGCGGTAAAGATGCCAAGTACCCAAATCAAAAGGATTGTTCTTATTAATTGAACCGTTTAGTTGTTTTTGCACATTTTATCTTTTATCTTTATCTTCTCAATATGAAAAAAAAAAGAGAAAAGGTGAATCGTACAAAAAGTTCCGCTAAAAAGAACAAGCCTGCCACAACATGAAATATTTATGTAAATTATTTTTTTTAATATTTTGTAAACATTTGTAAAAAATATTTTAAAATATTGCCTTAAAATGTTTTATAAAAATACTTTAAGAATGTACAAATATTATAAGAAAGAGATATCTAAAAAGTTTAATTTCCCGAACATATTTATTTTCAAAAATATTTCATGAAAAATTGTAAAATATATAATTTTAAATCTTAAAATGAAATATTAATTTTGGATAAATATATATTCAGATGTTAAAGAAAGAGAAAGCAAAAAACGTTGAGTGCAAAAAATACAAGCAACGCGAATCAGAATTCTGGCTGGAGAATTCTTGAAATTAATCGAATTGAATACTTATCGGAAAGATAATCGATTCTTTGATAGTCGATAGTCCACCCTTCCATTTTTAATTCAAAAGGATTGCCTAGACAACGGTACGATAAACAAACATGACGCGTTTCACGTTTCGTTCAGTAGTTTCAACTGTGTAAAAAGAAACTTAAAAATAATAGATATATAAAAAATATTGTTTAATATCTTATAAAATATTTATGACGTAAGACAGTGATTACCGCATTCCATCATTCTTTTTTGTAATGACTAGATACTGTACTTGTTTATGCTAGACTTAAAAACCATTTAGTGATGCCCTTATTCTTCAATAAGTTTTCTCCCAAGAAGACGCCAACTAGGAAGGCGTCCATTTTCCTAGCAAATAAAAATTTAAGTCCTAAACGGATAGAGAAAGAACTCGGCCCAGAAGTGGGTCCAATACGCCTCCGCCTTGGAGATCAGGAAGCTGTTTTTGAGGATGGTCTGTGGATTCCAGGTGAATAACGTTCCATTTACCGAACAGAAACTTTTGCACTTTTATTTCAAATAATTTAAAAAAATATCTAATTAATTTGCTCTAGAGTCTGGTAAGGTCGGAGGAACTTTCAAAGAGAATGAAAAATTAAAAAAAGAAGTGAGACGACTGGAGGAAGAGAATAATCTGTTAAAACTAAAGTTTGATGTACTTTTAGACATGGTAATCTTTTTTTTATATTGCATCTTTTAAAAAGTAAATAATATATAATAATAATACATATAGATATATATTTGTGTGTGCGTGTGTATGTGTGTGTGTGTGTGTGTGTGTATGTGTATATATTTATATGTATATAAAGTAAAGTACATATGTTTATAAAGAAAAAGCTTATCAAAAGCAGAACGTTAATAAAAACATATAACGAATCGATAGTTACATTTTATGTTAATCTTTTACAGTTAACACAAACAACTGCTGAAGTTCACTCACAAAAGGAAGAATTAGAGAAATTAAAAAATTTTTCTCTTAACAAACGAGTTGTCGTTTGATCTATTAAATATTTGTTTCTTGTTTACTAGGATATAAATAGAAACTATAAAGTAACTGATTATCAAACAATTTCTTTTCAATAGAAGCCTTAATACTTGTAAAAGAGTTACAAGACGAAAGTCCACTTTTACAGATAAAAACCATGTTTAGCACTTTCTATTCTAACTAAGCTTTTTATAACTCTAATTGTTATACACTGTATATTATTTACATTACTATTTTGGAAAAAATTCCTTGATGCAACTTATGAGAGACATAACGTGCGAAAGAGACCACTTTTGGACATTTGTGTCTCATGTGGCCTATAAAAGAATAATGCAAAATATAAAATATAATCTAATTTAAATATCATGATAGTTATAATTAAGAACAATAAAAATGTTATTATTAACAAAAATTAATCAAAGAAATATAAAGAGAAAAAAAATAACAAAAAAGATCAATTCTTTACACTTTCTTCTCCATTGTACCTTCTTTTCCTTAAATTCCGCATTTTCTCTTAAGGTAATTTTTTTCTGGTAAATTTAGGTTTTTTGAAGATATTGTCATTTTGAGAATATGTATCCTCCTCAGCTACCACCTTCGAAAATTTGCAAGAGGAATTTTTACTGTATATTTCCTTGGAACATATGTAAAACTGTAGTCCTTCATATGAAAGATACCTAAAGAAACACGCAAAATAATTTTTGTATTAGATATATAAATGAAGCTGCTAATTCGCGACATTATGACTTTGATTCATTAATTAATTATTGACGTTATGTATTGTTTATCATAAAAAGTTTGTTCTGAAATTTTACTCACTTATAAGCAGGCTGATTACAGTGACATATAACATTCGTGGATGGATTTTCCCTATTGTCATTTGAAGTACTAGCCCGAGGAAAGTTACTATCGTTATTTTTGTTCGAACTAGATACCAATGAACGTTTCCTCCCTGCATTACCTCGACATTTTGCGCTATCCTCATTTTCCCATTTCAAAAAGTTGCAAATCTTTTCATTACATACGCAATATAGACGTTCTGGAATTACAAATATTATCTGAAGGAACTTACGCGATAAATTATATTTATATATGATTGCCACTTACCTTTATTTGGTCCATATTTTTCAGTTTTTTGAACTGCAGGCTTTTTGCAATTGCACATAATCTTAGCATTATTATCAACATTATCATATGTATTAGTTGTATGGTTAGCGTTACGAGAATCATTGAACGCAGATCGATTTAATTTTTTTTACTAAATTGATGAAATCACTGAAATTAATGGAGGATGTATGATTTTTTGTATTCTCCGATACTGTATCGCTGTTAACAGAATTTAAATTATTTGATTCATTCAACTGAAAAATATTTGAATTTTGGTTTTGCGCATATCTTCCGGACGTGCTAGGAGTTCCGATCAGATCGACATCGTTGTTATTTCGAACAGACTTTGTACTAATAGAAGCTGGCTGAGTACTTTGTAGTTGGGATATACTTGGAGTAGTAATGGAGATCGATGAATCTTTCGTATTATTTTTCTCTCCCTTTTCTTGCATTGCTTCTACATTTTTCTGGAATTTCTAAACTATTCCTTTCATCACCTCCATTCTCCTATCCCTTCCCATATCTTCTGTTTTACTATCCATCTCTTCCCCTCCTTCTTTTAACTGTCCTATCCTATTGTTTTTAATCTTATTACACCCTTCGCATTTTACTTCTAATTTCTTTATTCTTTCCTTTAATCTATTTCTTTCCTCTATCCAGTCTTTTTCCTTGCACCTTATTTCGACTTTTAGTTTCTCCATTTCTATTTTTATTTCCCGTCGCACATCCTCCAAAACATTCATCATTACATACATTATGTCTTCCACTACCTTACCTTGTTCATCCATCCTTTTTTTTCTTTTCTTTTTTTAACGGCTTTCGCAAAATATTTATCAAATGTGAAGAGTCGATTTCGTCAAAAACTTTCAAATACTTTATGTCCGTACTTGCAATGATGACTCGTCTGATGCAACTTAATGCAACTGCACATTGTACACTCTTATCTTATCGATCTAGAATAGTGGTCAAGAAATCTGTCCTTCGCTGCAATAAATATTCCCATCTTGCTTTTTTACACTAGTGGTCTCTTATTTTCAGCTGAACTTGCACAATTCACCTTTCCTCTTTTTCTCTCCACAAAGAAAAAAGAAAGAGAAATAAATGATACAAAATATTGAGCTAAAAAGACAGGCCTTAGATAAGCCACAAAGAACAATTTTAAAATCTCATTACAAATTCTTTAAAGCGTATTGAGTGCGATCAATCGAGCACTTTAAAATATTTTAACAATATAGAGATATGTCATAAGTATGATAGGATCCTCAAAAAGTTCAGAAACGGTTTTGAGAAAAATGTTTTAGGCAAGGCCTGCTTAAGGTCACATCGATTTTTTTGTTCCAGAATGTAATACATAGCTGACCTCGTGAGTTTTTCAAAACACTATTAATAGAGTATTTTTTTTAATTAGTACTTATATTGAGTTATCAAGTTTGAAAGTTACAATACTGCCGTTTCCTCTTATTCTCATTTTTACGTAAAAATAAATTTTTAGTGCAAAAACAAAAATAAGAGGAATACAACCTCCAATCAACAATTTGTTAAAAGTTTGATATATTTTTACTTTTTAGATACGATAATTTTTTTTATATTATGCCTTTTAAAGCCGATTGTTTCATCTTCTAGTAAAGTTTACCTATTAGGTAAATAACAAGGTTTATCCAATCACGTGCGCGGATTTACCAACAAGTAAACTTTACCGAAAGATGGAACAATCGGCTCTTAAAAAGTTAAAAAGATAATTTCTGAGAAACAAAAAGTATACATGTATATTTAATAAGTTTATCAATATTATAGCAGAACGCTAATAGAAACATATAATGGTAATTATTAACAATGATATTAATTTTTTACAATTAACGCAACAACCACAATTCACTCGCAAAAAGAAAACTTAAAGACACTAAAAAAAAAAAACAATTTCTTTCATTACAAACGAATTGTCATTTAATTTATTAAATATTATTATTTGCGCCGCTTACTAAGATATGAACTATAAAACAACATTAAACGATTAATAATTACAAACTGTACATTATTTACAATATTGTATTGAAAAAAATTCATTCGTCAGTCCATCGCGTTATTCGGACATTTCTTCTTCGTATGACCTGCAAAAAAGTACAAAATGAAAAATGTATAACGTAAAAATATAAATAATGATACAGAAGAAGGGCTACGAGCCTAATAAATTCGTTTAATTTAAAAAAAAAATACAAAACAAACAATTCGACTCCGATCAAGTCATTATCAATGTTTAAAATATATCGGTTATAATACATATATAATTATTAGTGTGTTCGAAAATTCTCTGTATTTTTCTGTCCTTGACCAACTACTTGTAACATAAATTTCATTGTCTTGATAAATATGAAATTCTTAATTGGAAAAAGAATATAGTAAAAATATAATTTAGATATGATGACAAATATAATTGAAAACATAAAATCTATTTTTAACAAAGTTAAGAGAGACAGAAGAGAAAACATGATTTAAAAAATTAGTATCAGTGCACCCCTCGCCTTGATGAAGTGAACGGTATTCCCAAAACGTCAGCATTAAGAATGAAGACACGGTGATAACCCGCAAACCTTCTGGTATAATTGATTTAAAAAGTTCTTTAAATATTATACCTTCTAATCCGCAATTTCCACACTTTCTCTTGCCTCCGGTGGGTCTGGGTCTTTTAGGAGCACTACCTTTTTGTGGAAACTTGTTTCGAGCTCTATTTCCTGTTCCTCTTGCAGTGGAATTGCTCCAATCCGTATGATTATCGTCAGCATCATTCTCATCTGCCCATTTAAAAAAATTACAAGTGGAACCTACACCCTTGGGACATCCATAAAAATGCCGTCCCTTATTGGGGCCATCTTTGTAAACTGTTAACCTACGGAAACATGAAGATATTTTTACATATATTAAAGAGGGAAGCGACGCTGTTAATTGGGAGCGAAGCTGTTAATTGGCAATACTAATCAAGATTTCAACTTACAAATTAATTATTAATTAACATTAATATGTGGTCAGTAAAAAAAATTTACCATTCTTTCTGGTTGAAAATTTTACTTACTTTCGAGCGGGCTGATTACAATTGCACATAATATTATTCATAGATGGATTTCCCCAATCGTTATTAGAAGTGCTAGCACCATCGTTGTTTCTATTCCAACTAGATTCCCAAGAGGAATGTTCGTTCGTTGTGTTAGATTCGGCGCTGTCAGATCCCCACAAGAAAAAACTGCAACCGCTCCCCTGCGGTTTAGCACATTTGTAAAACAGACGTCCTGGAATAGTAAATGTTATTAAAAGCGACTACACGACAAATCACAAATTTAAATGCGATTGTCACTCACCTTTATTTGGTCCCTCTTTTCTAACTGTTAATTGGATTGCAATCTCATGACAGTGACACATAATCTCAGCATCATCGTCTGTATTACCCCATATATCTTTTACATTGTTCGTATTGTGAGGATTTCTGAACGTGGATTGATTTGCTCTGTTCCCTGGATTGTTGAAATCAGAATTAATCCAAGAAAAATGATTTTCTCTATTGTCCGATGTTGTATTTCTATTGATAGTACTTGGCCTATTCGAGCTATTCGGCTGAGAAATATTAGAATTCTGGTTTTGCGTGTTTGGTCTTCTGGATGTAGCAGAAGTTCCGATCAAGCTAATATTGTTATTTTGTACAAATTCTGTACTGCTAGAAATTGGCTGGGTATTTCGTGATTGAGATGTACTTGAGGTAGGTAGAGATGTATTTGAAGCGGAGCTTAATATATCCCTTGTATTATTATGAACAGTATAATTCGCTCTTCCAGTTTGTTTAATACAATCTTCTTTAATGTTTAACATTTCGTTAAACGTAGTGTCACAGCCTATACAAGTTGTATAAGAGGTACCATACAAAGGTATCACATTCCTGACTAATTTGAATTTTAATTTGCGTATATTTTCTGTACACTAAAAATATTAATCGTACATACATTTAATAATTTACGAAAACAAATATATTTATGTGAAATACGCTGCGAGCAAAAATTTTATATTTACCAGATTGCATGTTTCGTTTAGAACTTCCACATCCTCTACTGCTTCTGAAAACCAAATTACATTGGTACATGCTGGATATCCCAAACAGGTGATATATTTTCCTCTGCCTTGTCGTCTCTGTTTTAAAATCATGTCAGAACCGCATTTTGGACATTTAAATATAGTAGTAATCATTGGAGCAAGTTGTGTTCCCTCGGTTTGGAGAGGTCTTTCGTCGAGATAGTGTGCTAAAGAATCGTCTATCAAATTGGCGCGTTCTATAGCCACTTGGAACACTTCGCGATATTTATTAATTTGATGTTGTAATACTTCATTCGGGTCTTTTTGACGCTGGCATATCCTATAATAATAAAAAATACAAAAAAATTATACACACATAATTATACAGATATCCATACAGAATAATAGTGAATTAGGACGCACTCGTACACGCTCGTGCATATTAAAATCGTTATGTACTAATTTAATCTAAAATAAAACGAAATGTGTAAATATTTTAAATAAATGTTTTAAAATTGCATAGAAATAGATTGAATTTTAACCCATTTCTATATTTATATCAAACAATTACAAGTGAAAATTAAACTGATAAAAATAGATCAAATAATAGAAAGAATTTATATTAAGCACATCTTTACGTCAATTATGTGACATTAATTAATGTGTACTAGCGTGCACTGCGTGCGTTTAATCGAATTTGCTATAAGACATTGTCTAATGATATATTAAGTTGGCTTACAGTTGTAAATCTTTTTCTAGATCCGCACGCAAATGTGGCTTGGACATTTGGAAGCCCATATTATCATAACCCATAACTAAACCAATTCCCAATTTGCCTGGCATGAAATGTTGAGTATCCGTTAAGCCCACATATTGCCTGGATTTGATGGTATCAATATGCTCAGCATGTGTAGCGTCTGTACCAATACCGTGTTTGTCCATCAGTGCGATCAGCTCAGCCTCAGTTAATAAACTCGGTGCTGAAGTTTTCTCTTCCACCATATCAATACTAGTTGGTCGGAAAACTTGCTGCTGCTCGTAAAAGTGAATCTGTTTATTGTTCCATTTCTCATATATGTACACGTCAAGATAATTCGTTGCTATGATTTCAAGACCGTTAGCCATAAACTTCTCTCCCGCTATATTAATTTCTATTGTTGTTTCTCGGCCCTCCGCATTCTTCGACAGACAAGCCAAAAAATGTCGAACCACAAATTCGTAGATCTTAGCTTCGTTTCCTGTTGATAAATTGCAACTGATTAATGTAGCCTTAACGATAAACCCTTATAGAAATTTAATATCAAAAGATGATTAATTAATTATTGAATATTAAAAATTACTAGTTTTTATTCTTTTACTGAAGATGGACACACACACACACACACACACGCACGCACGCACGCACGCACGCACGCACGCACGCACGCACGCACGCACGCACGCACACAACAGATATTATAGATTTCTATAAAGGAAGGACAAACACTATGAACGAACCATGCAAACTGTCGGTATACTTCGTAGGATGAATAGGAGGATGCGCTTGATCGCTCTTTTTCCCTTGTCTGGGAGTTATTCCAGATTCCAGTAAATTTTCCGCAAAGTTACCCCATTCCTGATTGTTTACTTGTTGCTCTACTAAGGATCTTAGATTCAATTCCTTTGGAAATATATTTGTTTCCGTGCGTGGATAACTAATAAAACCTTGGGTGTACAATCTTTCCGCTATCCTCATTGTCTCCTTTGCGTTTATGCGTAACTTACGAGAGCCTTGCTTTTCCAGTTCCTGAATCAATGATTTTTGAAATAAAATGTTAAATATCTCGCAATATCTTAACTTAATTACTTACAACAGTATCTAGCGGTAGAGGTCTCCATTTGCTTTTTGGTTTGCATGTTACTTTCTCCACTGTAGCTTCCGGCTGTTCCAAGCATATGTCCAGAAATATCTGACAAGGCACTTTTTCGAACAATCTTACCCTGGCCCATCTGAATTCTACAGATATCCCTTCATGATCGTCCATCACTTTTAGTTTCCAGTATGGTTCGGACTTAAAGCGATCAATGGCAAGGAACCTCTCGACTACAAATCCAAGCGTTGGAAACTGGCAACTTCCGTAACTGATAAGCAGATCTCCAAGAGTGTTGGGAAACACTTTCTGCAATCTTAAGGTTTGAAATCTCGTGAACGCCGCACCTATCAATATGTTTACCAATTAGAAGTTTATAACGGAAGTTATAACAATCATTCCAATTAACAATATTTAATATAACCAGTACCAATTCGTAAATCTAATTCGCTTCTTACATCTACAGCATCGCTCATCGCCTTATCTGGCTGTGTCAAAGTTTGCAAAGCTCTTTCAATAGACGGTCTCGTAATTTCTGAGAATTTTGCTCTACAATATTAAAAGGATATATAAACCTTGTTGAAAATGTGAAAAATAAAGAATAGTCGCATTCAACAGAGAAAACTAATCAGTGAAAGCTCAGTCATCTTTATATGATTGATTCTTGTCTTTAATTTTTTTGCTAAACCTAATAAAACCAACCAAATATTAAAGAATCATTGAGTGTATCTAATGATTAATTTTCTCTGTTAAACACAGATAAAATTGTCATCAATTACCTATATATATGTATATGAGGCTTGACTGCTTGGCAGACCTGAATAATCTCAAAACCTATGTTCTCTCCTTCTCTGTCACAATCTGTCCAAATAATCAATGTATTACAAGATCGTACTTCTCGCTCCAAGGTTTTCTTAATATTTATATGACTCTCTTCTAAGCACTGTTTAGATACTGTAGCATCAAATAAATTTAATGGATGACAGCTGTGCCATTTGTTATAGCCTCCTGTAAATTCATGACCTAATAAGTGGCCAGACACAGATGTCATCACCATTTGACAGTTTTGACCCCATAGTTGCACATTAAATTCAAAGATTTTGTTGTATTTGGAGAAACCTTCCCTCTAAAAGAAACAGAATCATTAATACATGTTTCTATCAAAGTAAGATTAATTTTAATTTTAATATAACTTACTTTTTATCTGTCTCTAGTTGTAAGAAAAAGATATAAAGAATAAATTAAATTAAAATTAAAATTAATCTATAATAGACATAATATATTTTTACAGCTCCCTTGATTCATAAATAATAACTATATTAAATATAAATAAAAAATATATATTGAATAAATATACATATACAAATGAAATTAATTGTAAAAAAAGTAAGATAGTAACTTGATGATAATATGATTCCTAATCTGAATAATATATTAGGTGTAGTAAAAAAAAATTATTTTTGCATGAAATCTATTGGAAAAATAATGGATTTCTTTTTACTACACCTAATATTTAACATGGCAAGATCTGAGCCAAAATGCAAAACCATCAATGTAAGAAAATCAATATGGATAAGATTTTGTCTGAATGATGCTCATAAATGCTTTACAGTTCGTAAAATCTTACTTACATTGAATTTTTTACATTAGTGGTTTTGCATTTTGGTTCTGGAGCTCAAATTGGATAGGCCTGAGTTAGATAGAAAAGAATAATATAATGCAAAAATGTTACATTATGATATAATTCTAACAAGTTGTAACTGATACAAGATAAAATGTGATTAAATAATGAGAAGTAAATGATAATTAAAAATGATTACAAAGAAAACACTCTATTTATATAAAGAAATAAATATTTACCCTTCTGCTGGTTCCATGCGATAAATAACCAGCAATATTTTTAGCAGCATCAGGTTTTTCAGCAACATTGAGAACCTTCATGATGCTCTTTGAACAATATTGTCTTAATGAACAAAACACATTACCAGGATTGTTGCTAGACAAGATGCTGGCTTTGTTTTTCAAATTATGATAAATCGTACAATTCAATGCAATGGTATACGACTTAAAAAAGGCCATTACATGATTCTGGCATTGTTGACAATTTCCCGCCTCGAAGGTTATAAATTTGCTACTTAAACATTTCGTTTTTTAATAAATGCAACAGTAAACAATGTATCAATTCAGGATTTAACTGCTCTAGTTGTGTTATCGAAATAACTAAATCGACAGGAAATAAACATCCGCTTCCATTTTCTATTGTATAATTTTACACAGCTGTACACAGCTGTATATATACAGCTTGTAAAAAACGCGTAAACACAAAATTTCACTCCAAAATTCTGTTTATAAATCGATACGTGCACATGTGCCGTGTGCAATCAACTCTTTTCAAGACTTAAGTCTAGTTCACACTAGGCGCGATGAGCGATACGCGACGAGCGATAACCAATGGGCTCATTCAGCGGACTCAGCAGTTGAGTGAGCGCTCGCTATTATTGGTGTATTCTTCCAGATCTAAAATTCTGATTGGATGATCTAAAAGAATACACCAATGACAGCGAGCGCTCACTCAACTGTTGATGCCTGTTTCTACCAATGCAGCTTAACTTTATGCCAGGTCTTAATCCCAAGATCCTAAAATTCAACCAATTAAGCTGCCAGTTCTAACCGAAATTTGTACTCTATTGGCTGAATTTTAGGATTAAGTCCTTAAGACCGAAGCATAAACCAGGCATTATAGGATCTCTAGCACTAGATTTTCCAGTGGTAATTCCTAGTGATTTTGCATTGTGTAGGCTTCGGGCATGAGAAATTACTAAATTGCAGAACGCAAAAGGAACTTGGAGTTGGAGACAGCGAAAAGTGCGGACGCCCTTCGTTATTTTTTGCATAATAACTACCGATCCGATGTGGATTTTTCTCAGAACATACACGGGTGGGTATCAATTGCCGTGTATCGCATTACAATATTATGTCATGTTACGTCATTGTCGCGTCTCGGACGAATAGTCGGACCAAGTCAGACCATTGCTTGCGCAAGAGTCGTAACACGTATATGTACATACGTACGTATACACGTCAGGTTGCTTGTTTTGTCGCGACGGATTGTATTTTCTTCTCTCCTTTGATCGGTCCGACGATCCAGAGCCCAAAACGCGATATTTCGGATATTGCAAATCACGATCATTAACGGTCGTTTATATGCCTATTGTTTTCCTGGGAAAGAAAAGGTCACGGAAACCTGACGTGTCATGTCACAATGAGCGTCGTGTCGTTGAACGATCGTTCTTGTCTCGTGTTTAATTTGCATAATTAATAGGCACGTAATTACGATTATCGTCCTGGTGAAACTTTCTCGAAATTTTTATACGAATTGGAACAGAGAAACAAAGTCTACATCTATCGTTAGAATTTTTTATATATTTAAATTCTGAATATTCAGAAATTTCTCATTCTATAATTGTTTATTAAAAAATACCTTAAACTTTTTTTATTAGAGTATGTATTTTGTTTCATAATTAATGCTGTATTATTTTTTCCTTGTTATTCTACATATTAAACAAGGATAAAATAATACATCATTATATATTATACATGAAACAAAACGCACCCTAAGATTTCATCAGAGATTATAGAATAAGGATTCTTAGAAATCTTAGAATATTTTTTTACAAATATAGTTGCATATTTTTTGAATATTTTAAAAAATTTGGTTTGTTGTTTATTTATGACTTAAATACTTAAAAAAATTTTGCTGTAATCTTCTGCAAATTATCAGTCTATATAGAATTATAAAGTCTAATTTTTATTGTCAAAAGTTAAGTATTTTGATGTAAAATGATAGTGTTAATAAATACTACCTTAGCTATAAGCCACAAATTTGTAACACACCTAAAATTTGTTGCATTTTTTGAATGAAATCCAGTAGTATGTATATAAAAGCATAATAAAACTAACAAAATATAAAAATTGTAAAAATATTTTTTTCTCAAAATTATTTTTAATATATTTTTCTTTAGATTTAGAATATTTATATTAATTTGTTGTGCTTTATATTTATGACCTTTGTAAAAAAATATGAAGATTATATTCTTTCTGAGTCTTCAAATTTTTGTTTCAACTTTTTCTTTCAAAATTTCACGAACGATTTGTTAATGTGTTGATAACGCAACTTTTGTTATAAAATGAAAAATATTATAATTATATCTTTTTAAAACTTCCATATTTGTTAACAATGTAATGTAAGATTCATGGATATTTTGTGTTTTCAGCAATAAAAGACCGCTTCTGACTTCCCTTGCTTGATACATAGCTGTTTTTAAAATACCAAACATGACGGAGGACATGTTAGGTGCAGACATCTGTAGGGTCTGTCGATCCGAAGGCCTCGCAGACAGACCTCTATTTCATCCCTGTATATGTACAGGCAGCATTAAATGGATACATCAGGAGTGTCTGGTGCAGTGGATGCGTTACTCACGCAAGGAATATTGCGAACTCTGTGGTTACCGATTTTCTTTCACACCTATATATAGTCCAGACATGCCGCGGCGTTTACCACTGAAAGATGTCATAGGCGGTTTATTCTCAAGCATCGTTACTGCTGTGAAATACTGGTTACATTATACACTGGTGGCAATCGCATGGCTGGGAGTTGTCCCATTAACTGCATGTCGCACATATAGAGCTCTCTTTAGCGGGCCTCTCGATTTAGTTCGGGTAAGCGAAAGAAATGCAAAATGCCATATTAGATTTATTGTATGATAAATTTTTCAAACATGTTAACATGTTGGCTACAAGATAGAAAGATTCTTGAATTCCTTTAGCTAATCAAAGAAAAGTTTGTCTTATGATAAATGAGATGCTAGCATCAAATTAGAGAATGAAATTTAAATTAACCAATTAGGAAAAAAGCAAACCAATATCAAGTTTAGTAAATTTTTTGTCAAAAACTGCTGTGAACTAGTGTTATTAATATATCTATTAATTTTTTCGTGTAGGAAAGTTTGCAACTTAAAAATTTAATACTAACATATTTAATATTGAAATTATGTATTTGCAGATAATGTCGTTACCAATGGACATGCTATCCACCGAAAATATATCATCAGATGTGTTTCATGGTTGCTTCGTAGTTACTTGCACTTTGTTCGCATTTATCGGTTTAGTATGGCTACGCGAACAAATTTTACATGCAGGCGGCCCCGACTGGCTTGAAAGAGATGTACAACTGCCCCCAGTCGATAATCCTCCACAAGCAAACGCACAACGACCACAACAACCTCAGGAACAACGTGCTATGCCACAAGAAGTCCAAGACAACAATAATGTCCCGCCTTTCATTGATCCACCTATTCCTCAAGAAGGAGAATTACACAATGAAGGTAATTTGACAAGATAAGCTAGACTCTTTCAGACTTTTAAAAATGATAATGTTACAATACGACAAACTTTATCATAATGCAAAGTAATAGTAATTTCTTACCTTACAAAATTTCGAAGGCACTGAAAGGCACTCTATACTACTTTCAATACCCTAAATAAGTAATTAATCATCATCTAGCAGTATTAAATGGAATTTTTTTGTTTTATTTAACCAAATCGTAGATCAACGTCCCATATATCGAGAAGCGGCAGGAAACTTGGCTAATAATCCACGAATTGGCGAACCTGAAGATCTAATTAGAGATGTACAGGCACCAGATCCTCCCGTACTACCTTTTCCAATCAGACTTGAACTCGTAGAAGGTGGATACGTAAATGCCGCAGGACAAGAAGTGCCGGTCGTAGTAGGACAGGCACAAGGTGAAGCCGAGGAGGCCAATTGGAATCCTATGGAGTGGGACAGACCAGCTGAAGAATTAACTTGGGAGCGTCTCTTAGGATTAGACGGATCTCTTGTCTTTCTTGAACATGTCTTCTGGGTTGTGTCCCTAAACACCTTATTTATCATGGTAAGTTTATATTATATATAGGATGTTCCGGAAATTGTAGTATAACTGAAAAGGAGGTAACTTCTTATGTAAAAGTAAGTCAAAAAAAGAATAAAATTTATTCATATAGAAACAAGAAAAAGGAAGCCAATAACGATTAAAGCTGGATCACAGTGCTTATTATAATTATGTATGAATTTTATATACTGCGTATGTAGTCCCCCCATAAATCGCGACGTTGATAGTTTTTCAGCATTGACGCATACATACTTACTACCGCAGTAATATTACGAATTTAATTGATTAACAATTTTTGATGCTCATAGCATCATGGATCTTAATAGTGTTTTGAACATATTAAAATCTGAAGATGATAAATTAAAATTTCGTATTTAAAATTCTGTAAATAATTAAATCTTTAATTCTTATATATTGCGAACAATATCATGTAATTTTGACGTTTCATCCCGGTTTCCACAAAATTACGTGATACTGTTCGCAATATATAAGAATTAAAGATTTAATTATTTACAGAATTTTAAATACGGAATTTTAATTTATTATCTTCAGATTTTAATATGTCATTCAAAACACTATTAAAATCTATGATGCTATAATATATAAGCATCAAAAATTGTTAATCAACTAAATTCGTAATATTACTGCTGTAGTAAGTATGTATGCGTCAATGCTGAAAAACTATCAGCGTCGCGATTTATGGGGGGACTACATACGCAGTATATAAAATTCATACATAATTATAATAAGCACTGTGATCCAGCTTTAATCGTTATTGGCTTCCTTTTTCTTGTTTGTGTTTATCACTTGTACGGTCCTAGAAAGATTTTAATATTTATTCACTATTTTTTACTATGATTTCCAAAACCTTGTATATGTACGATTAAACGTATTAACTAATATATTTTTCTTTTTTACGATAATATATATTATGTAAAACTGATTTCTCTTTCCTTTGTTTACCCTTCGTAATGTATTTTTCAGGTATTCGCTTTCTGCCCATATCATATCGGACAGTTAACGATAGCAGGATTGGGTCTGCAAGAACATGCAGCCGCATCACATTTTGAAGGCTTAGTGACCACGTTGTGCGGCTACTGCGTTATTGGAGTTTGTCTGGTGGTCCTTCACACTCTTGCTGCACTATTAGGCTTTCAGCGTTCCCAGCGAATCTTAGGACTTTGTTACGTTATTGTCAAGGTCTCTTTACTCTCTGTCGTAGAGATCGGCGTACTTCCATTAGTTTGCGGCTGGTGGCTGGATATTTGCTCGTTGGCAATGTTTGATGCTACACTTAGAGATAGAGAATCCTCGTTCAGACTTGCTCCTGGCACATCCATGTTCATCCATTGGTTAGTGGGGATGGTTTACATATATTATTTCGCATCGTTTATTCTTCTCTTACGTGAAGTCCTGCGGCCCGGTGTTCTCTGGTTTCTACGAAATCTGAACGATCCTGATTTCTCCCCTATACAAGAAATGATACATCTTCCCATACTGCGACACGTTCGCCGATTAGTCGCGTCTGCAATCATATTTGGCACGGTGATTTTACTGATGTTATGGCTACCCGTGAAAATCCTAAGATGGGCTTGGCCAGGATTTTTACCCTACACTGTAACTGTACAAAGCGAAGCTCAGGTAAAACAAATAACAATATTTATTTTACTCTTTCCTATTGTAGTGGTTAAATAAGTTAATATCTTTAAATTCTAGGTCAGCGAGCTTTCGTTGGAGCTGCTTCTGTTGCAAGTGATCCTTCCTGCATTACTTGAGCAATCGCACACGCGCACATGGCTGAAAGCTCTAGTAAGAGCATGGTGTCGCGTGGTAGCGTGGATGTTAGATCTGCAATCGTATCTTCTACGAGATCAGGCGGATGATCCGGGACCAGCGGTAATTGAGGAACCGCAACATCCGGACTTGGGCGCTGCGCATCAAGCGCTACTACAGAGGGAGGGACCCACGGGATTTCAACCTTATGTTAGACCACGGTGGTTTCTCACAAGATTGGTCGGGCTTCTATTTTGCGTTTGTATATCTCTCGTGATCGCCAGTCTAGTCGCTATGACGTTGCCTGTGTGGCTGGGACGTAGAGTGATGGCACTGTGGATGGTAGGAGCACCTGCTCCGTCGCCACCTGTATTGCCGCCTACATTAACTGGATCTGGTGAGTTGAAGTTATTCGTTTCTCTAAGTCATCCTTTTTATAAACATTTTTTGTGCAATCATTTTAAGAGAGAATATTCCGCACGCGCGCATGGATAAAAACATTTTATCCTTATTTTTGGTGAATTTTTATACATATGTGAATTTATGTATACATATTCATATTCAGTTCTATAAACTGCGCGCAAATTTAATTTTTTGTGTTGAAACGCAATCTTAAACTGAAACTGTGATAATAATATACTTAACAAGTAAAATTGAGCAATTTAATGATTCTGATACTAATAAAAAAAACTTTTAAAAAACTAGAAAAATTATTTAAAAATATTACCTCAACCAAGTAATACTTCGAACCTAAATACGTGTAAAAATTCACGAAATATTATTAAACATAAGGCCAATATTCATAATTCATTCAATATTTAAAATGTTAAGAAGTCATAATTAATCAGAGCCATATTAGCATCTTAAGATACTACTCAAGATAATTTTGAAATAAAAACAGACTATGAACATCTAAGATGTACCTAACAACTAGGACGAATAAGCATTTCATATTTAGTTGTATATACACATGACATTCAGTCTAATGTCATTTAATGTTATATAGTTATATATTTATTTTCAAAGATTTTTATCAATTATAATATTTTGCTTTTCTTTTAGACGGCGGCGAGACTGTGGGTTCTTTATCCGGAAGAGTACACGAAGTATACACAATAGCCTGTGGGACTTATGTATGTTGGGCCGCAGCTCGAGGCTTAGCATTGGCGTTCTCCTGGTTGCCACGTGGTCGAAGAGCCATCATAGACCGGATCAAGCATTGGGCAATCTTGGCCGTGAAAGCTTCAGTAGCATTCGTGCTGCTCGTCGGAGTCATACCGCTCCTATTCGGTCTTCTTCTTGAATTAGTAGTGGTAGTTCCATTACGTGTCCCATTAGAGCAAAATCCTATTTTATTCATCTGGCAAGATTGGGCCTTGGGCGTACTGTACACGAAGATAGCTACCGCCATAACGATGATGGGACCAGATTGGCGAATACGTCTCGCTATAGAGCGGGCCTATAACGAAGGAATAAGGGAAATGGATTTAAAGTTCATCATCAAGGAATTAGCAGCTCCCGTTATATGTTGTTTTGGCCTCGCTCTCGCGGTTCCTTATGCCGTGGCCTACGGAATAGTTCCACTTCTTGTGACTAATCTGCAAACCCAGATTCTTATCGCTAGACGTCTATATCCTTTTCTTCTTTTAGTAAATCTGGTCTGCGCAGTTATTTGCTTTCAGATACGTCAATTTAAAAAGCTGTACGAGCATATTAAGAACGACAAGTATCTTGTGGGGCAAAGGCTCGTGAATTATGAGCATCGTAACAAATCGCAGACCCAACAGCATTCATCACCAAGATCGAGCTAACGGTGTCAATAGGCATAATATTGTTACGGGCGGAAACGGATTAGGATTAGCTTCGTGTACATTCTTTAAGATTTACTTACTGATTGATAATTTATATTATATATATATATATACATATATATAGTCATGGTTTTATTTTTAATATTATAATTTATTAATGTAAAGCGATACCGAATAAATCAAAGACTGTTATAGTATCGCTTTTTACTCTGATGCTTGATAGTTTTAACATGTATCATTTATCTTGATTAACAAACAATGAATGAGATTTCATTCGCATTATTTGCAGCAACGAAGGATGACGTAAGGTTATAGACCTACGATAGATATTGAGAAGAGAATTTTACTCTTTGCTATAAACTCCGAAATTCTGACGTAGTCCAACTTGTACCTATTCTATAATTTCTTGATGTATTCTTCAAGTAACTATCACTAACGTGTCGTTATGTAAGAATAATATAAAACCGTGTAACATAACGGTTAACATTATCATTAGGCAGTTATAAAATAGGTATACAGAAATATAAGGTATAAATGTATTACAAATATAAATGTACAGGAAACAACCTCTTGATAATTCTTTTAGATCTTAGAGAAAGAGATTAATGAAAAAAAAAAAGGAATATGAAAGTACATTGTGGTCATTGTTATCTAACATTAGATTATACTGTCGATCTCTGTGTAATAGAATTTATATAAACCTACATATATATTTGATTAGTAATTGTAATCAAATATTTTTGCTATAGTCTCAAATGTTTGCAAATTAATTAAAGTTTCATACACGGGTTATACTTAATCACATTTTTGTTTTTATTCATGATTGATTATTTCTAATATTTATGCATAAATTACATGTAGATACCCGACAATATGGTACGTACATGTATGTACAAAATATTTACAATAAACTAATATTTTATAACAAGATAATATATTGTCCGTATATATACATACATATTTTAATATTTATTTATAAAATAACGTGAAAAGCTAGTATAAATGTATGTTCCTTTTACAAATTATTCTCACATATTTACAATTATTTAAAATTTAGATTACTTACTAAAAAAAAGTATCACATTTAGTAATCACTCAATAAATTTTTGATGCATTGTAAATAACAAGCAAAAGTCAGATATGAAATTCATTAATTTTTTTGGAGAATCACAAATTGTAAAATTTAAAGTGATAAAAATTCGTTTAAATTTATAATAAAATTAAATTGTACATGTATTATTCAAGTTTTTCAATAATAATGAAATATATAATGCATTTAATATTGTTATATTAAATATATTAATAAATTATATATATATCTCATATCATGCATATATATATATATATAAAAAAAAATAAAAATATTTACTATTTAAAATTTGTAAAAGTTAACAGTTTAAAATTTATTTTATTGCAGTCTCAATACAGCGACTCAATGTGATAATCACTGTATCACATACACTATATCATTTGTACTCTTAATTCATTGTAATCTGTAATCCTCCAAAAATACAAAGTAATAACATGGGCTATAAATCAAGCTAAGTTGTAGTGTTATATAATTGTATACTAATTATTATAAAATAAAATATAAACGTTTCGATCGCTATCAGGTCAATGACATAAAAAATTTCTAATGATTAAATGACAAAAAATTTCTAATAATTAATGAAATTTAGATTATTATAAGTTGGTTACTTCAAAATGTCAGAATGATTCACAAAACTTATACCAAGTATAACTGCATACGCATTCAAAACTGTCAGTGTATAAATTCTTCAGGAATCTTAACATAGCTCAAATTATTATATATAATGAGTAATTCATGATCCAATTATCACGAATATAAAACTAAAGAAAAACCAGCATGAACCATAAATATTACATTATACTATGTAGACAACTTTACAGTTACTTTTCAAATGAACTGTTTGTGTGTACACTGAAGATGATCTGATAGAAATCGAAATGTTTGAATTTTATTTTATAATTATTATGTATTTTATTTCATAATTCCAATTAGTATACAATTATACAGGTCTACAAACTTAGTTTATAGCCCTTTATTGTTATTACTTAGTTTTTAAGCCTCTGTTTAATCTTATATACAATTAATATTTCTCCATGTATATACATGGGTGTGTGTGTGTTTGTGTGTATATATATACTATATATATGAATATTCATAATTATTGAAAAATTCTTCGTCATATAATAATTTCGTCACAAATAATATAGTTGATCACTACAAAATCAATTAGAAATGGTATAAATCTGTTTACTGTTGCGGTGGGGGTAAAAGAGTTGCTTTTATATGAAATTCTTCACTAATTTTTGTTATCTGTACATGCACCAAACTAAACAAATTGATTACCTAAAATATATGTTTGTAAGATATTAAAATAACTACGTTGATTATATTTTGTTATTACTATATAAAATATTAAGATAATACCTGGACAATAGGAGGTTCTTTCCAATTAACAGTTACAGTTGATACATCATCTGCGGAATACTTCAATGTAGCATCGTTTTCTATGTCTTTGAATTTTACTTTTAGTTTTATGCCAGTGTCACAGAGAAGAATTTCTATACTGTCTTCCTTGACGCATAATACGGTAGCTATCGTTGTAAAACCGCCTGCAAGACCTACCATATATGCAAAGAATATCTCCGTGCTCTGTTCGTAAGCCAATTTCGCATTATATTTCTTCACATTGCAATTGGCTGCAATCCTATCACAAATTAAAAGTAAAAATTATTTATTGTAGCAAATTTTTATGTTATATATTTTGCTTTCATAATGCAGCATTAACGTACTCGGAACATAACTTAATCGTCCATTGTTCTGGTAAAGGTTTATTTTCAAGCGTTGCATTGAGCAAACGATGAACTATACAATCGGAATATCTTCGAATAGGGGAGGTAAAGTGCGTATAAAACGACACATTTAATGCATAGTGTTTCAAATCATACAGCGAAATGGTAGATGCACATATATATTCTGCACGCTGAAAAATTAAATTTTAATATTATTAAATTATCAGATTATAAAATTCTCTCCCTTCCTATTTATTTCTATCAATAATATTTACAAATTATAATTTTTAAAAATAACAATTCTTACTGCCATAGTCTTTGAACATAAATGTACGATAGCCATTGCAATATATTTCATGGAATCAACCGTGACAGAGTTATTTTCTGGTTCATAGCGATTGATGCTGGCCTGTAAGTCGTAAGCTGTTTCAATATTCAAATGAATTCCATATTTTTGTAGCATATCACGAAGTGAATAGAGATTGTGCTTAGGCTCTTTGTGTACGCGTAATAAAGCTGTTTCGGGAATTGCAGTATACAATTGTACGGCGACTGTCATATTTGCCAACAGCATAAATTCTTCTACAAGACTAAAATACACATTCGTAATAAGTAATCGATGATTAAATTAATTTCTTCATAATTTAAGTGATGTAATAATATGTAGAAGTCATATAAATGTTAATAATTAAAAAACTCCACCTATTGCTATCAGTTTTTTCAAGTACATGATAGTTTACAGGTATCGGAATCCCATGTTCTTGACTGAGTACGGGATCTACATCTATCCGTAAATTTGGTTTACATAATTTCAGTGCCCCATTAACAAATCGTTTGTTTTGTAACTGAGTGGATAATTTAAATAACTTGTTCACTATGTCAGATAATAACGATGCGGTATAGTCTCCTTTTATGTCTAGGAAATCTTCGGGCCAAGATTTTTTTGGGTCGTTGAGCATAGCTTGAGCCGAGTCATAGGACATTTGACAACACGATCTTATCATAGTCTTCGCGAAACGATGTTTTACAATTTTGGCCTCTGGTGTCATTTCCCAGATTACAGAAAAGGCTAAGCTATCTTTACCAGGTAATAAGGAACAAACTTTACATAGTTCCTCTGGTAGCATATGAGAAGTCATGTGTGGCAAATAAACGGTAGTAGCTCGTTTCAAAACTTCCTTATCTAATGGAGAGAAAAATTTTAAGTAGTGCGTGACATCTGATATATGTACACCGATCTGAAATTAATGGATTTGTTAGATGTCTTTCACATGTTATGGTCAAATTTAATATATCGCAATTACTTCATAGTTTCCATTGTCCAAGATTTTGCAAGAAAAGGCATCATCTATATCAACAGCTGTTACGGGATCTATCGTGAAAATGCATTCATGTCTCCAGTCTTCTCTATCTTTCATGTCAGTGTCCGTTAAAATGTAATCACTACCTGGAAGTCCTTTCAATAGGTTTTCATGATATGGGGACAAATCTAAATTATTTTCAAGTATTACTGCTGTTAGTTCCGTATTTATTTCGCCATATTTACCCACTACAGAAAGAATCCGCCTATAAATATATAAGTGTATATAACATAAGGACAATCAGTAACAACAGAAGACAGAAATGTCAATATAAGTGTATCATGATATATCTTTGAAATTAATCTTTTAAAATTGTAACATTATTTTATGTTATATATATATATATATATATATATATTACATAATGCAATAACCTGCCTACCCAAATGCACGTAGCCGTTCCCACAAATCGATATTAACTAAAAACATCATATTGTCGAAAAGTTCTGGTTGATCGCGAAATAAAGGTGGCATGGATTCAGGAAGTATCTCAACCAATGGTATCCTATGATCCCTTGGATAAAACAATAGGAGTGAATCATGTTTCTTTATATATCCGACTGCTCGTCTCGGATGCACTTTCTCTAATATACAAACCACTTTACCAGTTTTTTGTATTTCTCCACTGGGTAAAGTTCGCCATAAATTTTCAGGGTTTACACATGCCACAACTAGATCTCCTTCAAAAGCACGATTTCTATTTGGTATACCCATGATTACCAGGTCGTGTTCTTCATTACTTATACTTAAATATGCATGTTTAGCTGAAAAAGGATTTATACGGAGATTTCCTTTTACATATTGTATACCATTAGATGACTGTTTTTTTAAAATATTCTTCATTACTGAAATAGGTATATAACTTGAAAATATCTTCTTGAATGCTTTCCTCGTACTTTGTTTTTTCTTTGCATCGTTTTTTATTATTTTTTTGCTATATATTGTTTCATTATTTTTTTTCAATATATTTCCTATATTTGATTTGTTTTCTGTTTCTGTCTTATTTTTTGTATCTTGCCTTGTTAATTTCGAGTATTTTCCTTTATCATCATATTGAGTATTGACCTAATAGATAAATGATTACTATTAATAAAGCAATATAAAGCAAGTTTTATAAGATTTACTATATAGGGTGATCCACTTAACATGACCATTCCCTTTTATCTTTGCAGAATAAAGTCGTATAAAAAATATCTTTTGATAAAAGTTGTATAATCTGATGGAATACAAACGAAAAATCAATTTTTTTTTTTAAGAAAAAATTTTTTTTTAATTGATTTTTATAGTTATAAAGATCATAGTCATTTTTTAAAAAATATTATAGAATTGTATATTAATACCTTTATGCATAGAATAATGAAACAAATTAATTGTAAGCTATAAAGAAAATATGTAGTTATTTTCATAAAAATTATGCTACTTGCAACTACAAGCAATTGTGTATCTTTTTCTACACTAATTGATTCATTTCAGTCTTCTGTATATAGAAGTCTTAAGATATGAATATAAAAAATGAATAATTACAAGATATTTTATATTTTATATTAAAATATGCCAATATAAAATATAAAAAACTTTATTTTTTAACATCTCTATCTTAATACTTTAGTATGTAGCATAATTAGAGAAATCATGTTGTATAAAAAGTAACAATTCCATTAAGAAAATTTTTATGACTATGAACAATCCTTTTTATTTAAAAACTTAACATTATTTGTATTCCATCAGACTATACAACTTTTATCTAAACATATTTTTTATTTGATCTGAAAAGATAGACGAGGTGATCAAAAAAGAAAATAAACATTCTATTAACCAAGACCAATGAATGCCTATGTTGCAGAACATTTATATAAATAAGAACAATATTCCTCAAATAGCTTAAAAAATGATATGTGTTATATGTCTAACCTGGTCTTTAACTAAATTCTTAGTCTTGATTTTGCTGTTATCTGATACTGTTGTATCTTTCTTTTTTTCTTTCATGGGCTTTTTATATTTTGGTGCTATATTATGCTTTGTGTCCTTCATTTCCAATTTAGTATTCCAGGAAATCAGAGAACTGCTTGCAAACTGCATAGGATTTGTCGTATCACCTTGCATAGCACTTGAGAAATTCATAGCTTGCTTCTCGGATTTACCTGTTATGATACCATTGTGTTGTGTGTTTTTCCTTTTGGATTGGAGACTCTTGGATATCCTAAGATTACTTGCTAACTGTGCACTGAGCTCCGTTAATTCATCATAACGAGCAGTAAATGCTTTGTTCGTCAAGAAAATTGCTTTATGCACGTCACGTTTCTGATCATTTTTATGCGTGTTAGCATAACGCTTGCAGCAAGATCCACCTTTATTGACTTGCATCATAAATTTCTTATCTCTCAAACACTTGGGCACGACTGCGATCGAATGAGTCATCGACACAACAATATCTGAATCACAACTGTAATGTAGAACATAAAGAAAAGATATAGGTTACAAAAGAGCAAATCACAGATAAAGCTTGTACTTTCTACGTATGTGTCAAAAGTTAAAAATAATCTCCTGTGAACTGGACATCCCCGACTGAAAAGCCCCGTTGAAAATTTCGTATATGTTTGTCATCTGTTGCTGCCTCAAGTCACATTGAAAGAAAAAAAAAAGCCAAATACACGGTCGGTTAATTCGACACGGATGAACGATCTTCTTTTCCTAAATATTGACCCGGCAACTGCCAAGAGTCGGAGAGTCTAGTGCTACAGGTTGGAACTGAGGTCCTCTAAATCTGGGGGTAATCATTGGGGGGTAATGAACGGGTGAATAGTAACGGTGGTAACGGTGAAAATTTTGGTTAATTTTGGTTAGGTTAAAAACAAACTGAAATGGAGAATCGTACACGTCACGTGGATAACGTGGCTTATTCTCGTCGCTCATTGGACGAGACTCCCGATGCCAGCCGTGCTATTGGCAGTCCGTTTAGCAGAAACTGGAAGTCTGGAACTGACATTTGGGCCGCTTGAGGTTTGTTTGAGATGTGTCGACTGTTGACAATCGATAATATTTTTAGGTTAGACGTGATTCTTTAGAGTTGTTTAGAGTTAGAGAGAAGTGATCGCCAAAATTGTATAATTGAATCGTGTACATCGAGTTGTATATCGAATTGTGTTGCCACTGCATGGAAGGATTCGAGAATGGCTGAGATAGATATTTTTGACTATGAAGAATATGAAGAACAATTGCCACAAGATCTGGGCGACGATGTTGTTCAGGAAGTCCTCAAGACTGGCACCGATTTGCGCGAGTATTCCAGGCAGATCGAGAAGGAACTCAAGGAAGTTGAAAATAAGTCGATTCAAGATTATATCAAGGAAAGCGAGAATATAGCCAGTCTGCACAATCAGATTGCTGCGTGTGATAATATTTTGGAGGTTAGGTTAGGTTTGAATTCGCTGTTGACACATCGGATCTCGCTGACGTGTTGACATATGATTTCATGCAAATCATACCTTATTGTCGACAAAAATTATTAGTATCGAGATTCTTACGAAAATTCTGTAGATTATTTATTAGTTTAATTTTTGAAAGTATTATGATTTAGAAAATTGAATGTATAATTATAATTATAGTATTAATTTTATGATTATCCTGATATTTTATAATTATGTATGTATTAATGACTTAATAAACTTTTATTTAAAATTACAATTATTTATTATTAACATTTAGGAGAGGAAGATTAGTTTATCCATGCAAATAATAATTATGAAAAAGAATTAATTTTATGGCAATATATCAAATTGCATTATTAAAAAAATATATTTTTTTATTTATGAAGCATATAATAGTAAATTGTAAAAATACTATTCAGATCATTTATATCAAAAATTTATATTCAATAATATTGATATTCTTCAATTCTATGAAATTCCTTAAAATTGATAGTCTTTAATAATATCTTATTAATGTATGTATTAAATATGTTTGTATATTCTACTTCAATAACATGTATTTGCAAAGTAATACTACTAATCAAGCAAATTTTTTCAGGAAAACATTTAGATGCAAATTTTAATATTACTTTTTTACAGAAAATGGAGTCAATGTTGATGAACTTCCAGTCAGTTCTAGGAAATATAAGTTCTGAGATAGTTTCCTTGCAACGCAAGTCTGTTGCTATGAGCCAACAGCTGTCCAATAGACAAATAATACGAGGTCCACTTAGTCAATTTATTGAAGATATGACAGTGTCTGAGGTTCTGATTTCGTAAGAAATTATTTATTTTATAAGAGAGATAAAAATCTTATTAAATGTATATTAATTTTTATATTTAATTAAGTTCTTATATATTTACTTATTATTTTAATTTTCTTGCAGTGGTATTATGGACTGTCCAGTGACTGAAAAGGAATTTTTGATTCAGCTGCAAACTCTCAATCATAAAATTAATTTTGTGAAGGAACAAAGTTTTAAGGAAGCTAAGTCTTGTTTAGATGTGAAGGATATATTAGAGAAGCTGAAAGTAAAGGCAATGGCAAAAATTAGAGCATATTTGCTAGAACAAATTTATAAATTTAGAAAGCCGATGACAAATTATCAAGTGCCACAGAACAACATGCTAAAATACAAATTTTTCTTTGAATTTATTTTGACGAACGAGAGAAACGTGGCTGAGGAAATCTGTGGAGAGTACATTGACACTATGAGCAAGATATGTTACTCATATTTCAAGTCTTATTCATCAAGATTGATGAAATTACAGGTAGAGATTGGAAAAAAATTGGTCTTATGTAAATAAGTTGAAACATCAAATTATAATACAATTATTTTTCTCAGTTTGAAGAGAGAGCAACAAAGGATGATTTAATGGGAGTCGAAGATACAGCAGGCAGAGGTCTTTTTCATAAAATAACGTTAAAGCACAAAGGTACTGTCTTTTCTATAGATACAAGGGGTCAGGTTTTGACTTCTCAATTGGAAGCACCTATAATTGTTCCACACACCGCTTCTAAAACACGCGTAAGTATTAATGATATAACATGTTTAGTAAAGACTGAAACAACATTTAAGGATAGATTCTTGAGATCAGACTCAGGTAATTCTTAAGTATTGTTATGATTTTACTGGATACTGTAAGTATATGATATACTAATAATATTATTATAACTTACAATGTTTTCTAAATTAATAATTATAATCTTATAGTATCATTACGAAGCTCTGTTCAGAAGTGAACAATATGCTTTGGCTGATAATGCTTGCAGAGAATATCTGTTCCTGATAGAATTTTTCAAGGTCCGTAATGCACAGGCATTAGATATTTTCAATCAGGTAAGATATATTTAATACCATATATTGATTCGATAGATTTAAGTAAATATTTATATTAAGTAGAAAATATGTGTAAATATACTAAAACCAAATCATCCCTTTCTCTTGACAGGTTATGGGAAAAACATTAAATCTTATAATAAAAAATTTGCAATCATTTGTTGAGGATTGTTATGATACAATTGCTCTATTTCTCTGTCTACATTTAGTGATGCGATATCAATTAATATGTCATAAAAGAGCTGTACCAGCATTGGATAAATACTGGGAGACTTTAACAGACACAATTTGGCCTAGGTACTTGAACATATTTAAAAATAAATAATTGCAATAAAATTATCTATTTTATATCATTACAATTTGTAAAATTATATCTGCTTTTTAGATTTGAATTTGTATTTCAATTAAATATAAATAGTGTAAAAGACTGCGACCCATCAAAGTTCAATAAAGAGACTGGTCCACATTATGTAAGTATTTAAATTTAGTGGATCGTTTATAATAGCATTTAATTACTATATAATATTATAATATGTATGTTCATTGCTTACATAATTATGAATTTTAGATTACCAGAAGATACGCGGAGTTTAGCGCTGCAATTGTAAGTGTAGTCGAAGGTTTTCCCTGTGAGGGGACAACTCAATTATTGGCAGAACTAAGAGAAGCTGTGCAATGTTTCTTATTAAGAATGGCATCTATTTTCCCAAGCCGGACGCAACAATTGGTGTTTCTTATCAACAATTATGATCTGGTCCTCAGAGTATTAATGGTAAGTAGGTTTTACTTAAAAAGTAGAAAAGTGCACCAAAATTAACGTATTAACAAAGAAGTAATGGATTATATTTGACTGCAGGAAAGGACACGAGAAACCTCGAAAGAAGCGGAGAGCTTTCGGGAATTATTAAACGCGCGTTCTTCCGAATTTATCGAAGAAGTTTTGAGTCCGCACTTCGGTAGTATAATCCAGTTGGTGAAAGAAGCAGAGGCTCTGAGCGAAAAAGGTCAAATCGACGATTTGAAACGACAGGAGGGCAAAGTGTTGGTTCTAGTGCAATCTTTTACGAACAATTGGAAGCGAGCGTTAGAAGAAATAAATCGAGAGGTATTACAATCATTTCCCAGCCTAGTGCTTGGCAGCACACTAGTGCAAGGCGCAATGACGCAATTAGTACAATATTATAATCGTCTTCATAAGATCTTACCAACAAATGCGCGCACACAACTTACGAATATTCATCATATAATGGTAGAAATTAAGAAGTATAAGACGAATTATTAGGTAATTTTCTGAAGAAATTGATTACCCAAATCCTCAAATAATGGCCGGTCATTGATTATTTGCTATAAAAGAATCACTCTTATTATTGTATATAGAAATCAACTCTGTTACAGCGATTTCCAATTCTATATCGATTATAATTATTTATTAAATAAATATGTAAATTTTATTATTAAGTATTGTTTAGGAAAATTGGGATACGCGTTCTTGTAAATATAATCACAAAAATACATTCTGTACATTTATTTATAAAAAGATATGAACTATATAAGAACTAAACATGATATTGCATTACCATTCTATACAACAGTGATTAATATCCCGTACTCTTGCTCATGAGTCTCATGGCACGAGTATACGAATCTCTGGTTTTTTTTTGCTTATCTTATATAAATTAATATGTATACACATACGTTAAAATGGTCTCGTTACTTTTTCCTCTGATTTCGCGACACCTATGGCATAATATTCATTTCAATTTGTCGGTGATTGAATCTAATCGCACAGTACGACGATCTGTTTATAGAGTTTATAATCACTTTGATACAATTCAATTTAAGCCACACATTTCGCCGCATTTACGCAAGTAATTTATATTCACTTGATATATCGAGTTCTTTAGTGTTTCAGAAATTATAAATACGATTGCGTTTAATGTTATAAATTATCAAACAATTATCACCTGCATGATTGCAACTTGTGCATCTTAATCGTCAATTTGCATTCATTACGAACTACCGTTTTATAGTACACCGTCAATAGCATGTAACACACCGTTCGTTGCTGGCACATTATGCGTTACGACATGTGCTTCGTTTACTCGTACTCGTCCTGAAACAATAATGTACATTAATCATTTGAGAGATTATTTATTATTCGATTTATCTTTTTACAATAACACTATTAAAATACGGGTCTTTACTATTCATCGTTTAATTTACTTACCACCGTTTTTGTGAATATGAATTGGCGACTGTGGACGAAGGGTATCTTTTTGAATATAATATCTCATTCCAGCCGTATAAAGAGTCGTGGGAATGACGTGTCGTGAAATTATCGTCTTCGCTGCTTCCGGCCCATCCTCCTCGGTCCAAATTGGGACGCCGTTCTTTGTGGACGTATCGGTGAAAGCAGAATCGGTCGGTGCAAAGATAGTAAACGTCTTCGGCCCTAGAAAAGCATGGCTTTCGTTAAAATACTAAAAAAGGATTCGGGATAATTCATCGAATTTGCATATCAAGAAAAGGCGCACACACAAATTGAGTTCTTTTAAATTAATTTTCGTTTTGATTTTTAATTTACCTGTGAGCGTGTCTTCCAAACCCGACACGTGTAGCATTCTGAGGAACGTAGTGAACCTCCTCTCGCGATCGGCTTGCAGAGTTTGCACCAAATCGCCGACCGGCAGCGGGAACATGACCCTGTCAACGGCGTGGGCAATACCTTGGGGTATCTCAATATCTCGTTTATTGGGCGCGACACGCGCCCCGTTTATCGTCGTTACCTATTTGTAAACAATCCGAAATTAAATGAAGAGAAACGCTCGCGTGACATAGAATCATCGGAACCGTATCTGGTATACATGTATTAAGTATGTTTCTAGAAAACACTATGACGTTTAGAAATAGTAAAAAAAATTTACAATTTTAAAGATCTATAAAAAGAAACATCTAAATAATATTTTTTTACACTACAAATACCTAATTTATTTATTTGGTTTTTTTAATGAGTAAAAAACGTTAGTTTTCTTTAATGTTAAGATAATAAAGTTTTAAAGACATCTAAGATATATCTTTTAGAAACATATGTTATTTAAAATTTTTGTGCGGATGACGGAATCGTCGCTTGAAGCATGTCCATCGAGTGAATGGAAGATTTCTAATATATTCACGAAGGTCAATAAACTGGATCACGCGCGAATGCACATGAACCATATACACTGATTACATTATGAAAATAATATCATACTGACTCACGAGCTATTAATAATTTACACTTTCCGAGCGAACGATGTTCTATCAAACAAAAGAAAAGATTAAATACGACTTAAGAAAAAAAAATTTTAATTTTTTTAAATTAAAATAAAGATAGAAACTTTGAGAGAAAAGGGCACTAAGAGTCAGGCGCAGAGATAACTTTACGCAAATGCTGATTAAACATCTCTTGATCTCGTTTTATTTATGTTGTTACTTTGTCTCTGAAGAAGGCTTAAAAATAAACCGAAACATGTAAGCACATTTTTAGAATAAAGAAGTTTTGTTTGTTATATACTAGCATTTGCGTAAAGTTATCTGCGGCTGACTCCTAGTGCCCTTTTCTCTCAAAGTTTCTATTTGATTTATAAGGAAATTATTTGTTATTTAAAATTATTATATGTGTTAAAATAAAGAAACGTGAGATAAAAATGGACGAAGTTTTTTTTTTATCGAAATTGAAAGAGAGTCTAAAATATAAAATTACTTTTACATCGTTCCATTCGTGATCCTGCATCGCATACTCGTTCACTCGCAATTGCGTTCCTGCGAGACTGACGCCGGTCATCTCGTCCTGCAGAGAATCTATTCTGAAGGCCCCCGGTATAACGTGATGAAGAAGGAGCTGTTGCAAAAGGATTTTCATTAGTATATATCTCTTATTTCACTGACATCAACGTTCTTTACTGGAGAACACTTGTCGTTTTATTTTTCCAAGCTTAGCTAATTTCAAGATTATAGTTTAATTGAGTCTTCATATCTCTCTATAGAGAAGAGCAGTAAATCAATTTAATTACGGTTAGGTAACTGGTATTAGTGAAACGTATCGTTAGGCAGATAAATTATTAATGACGCTTTTAGCACCAATGCGTACCCCACTTAGAAGTCTCGGATTGTCGTGGAACTTCTGCTCAGCTTTCTCTGGTCCTCCCAGCTGCACCAGTAACGTCCTGAAGGCTTTGTCCGTAGGAATGAATATGGTATATGGACCTGACAATTTAATGTCACAAAACAATATAGAGAAATAACTCACTCAGAGCTATCGAATATCATAATTGTTATCGAAATCTTTGTTCCAATATGGAATTGATTTCTTTAAATGAAAATTCGAGACATAATTCTAAATAATTAATAATCGAAAACAAGAGATTTTTGGCATATTAAATTTAAAAAAGCAAATAGGTAATAGTTACATTTCATGTTTATAACTGCATTTTATTTTAAATTTTAATAGACTTGATCTAAAGTTCAATTATTATAAGAGCTTAGAAAGAAGCCTTTTATGTGCCTCGTTGCATTGGCTGCATTCAGCAGAAAAAGCAGCTTTGCAAATGTTACAAGATTCTTTTTAATGTGAATAGTTTATAATTTAGATTCAGTGAGAAACAAGACTAAGTATAATCATATTTTTTCAGACATTTTTACACCTCAATTATGAAGCTATTGTGTAAAAAAGAACGATTTATTAAAATATCTAAAATTTTGAACTACATACTGATCTGAAAATAATTTTGTTAAACTATTAAAATAATTATATGTAGGACGCTCAAGCCACAGTATATATGAGCTCAAGCTTAGAATATCAACATTTTTTTTGGGAAGCATTGTTCATTATACTTGTGTTTCGTATATAATTATTTCAATGATTCAACAAAATTATTTTCTGATCTGGCTACATTTTTCAATATTTCAGTAAAAATTTTTTCTGTGTATTTAATAAGAATTTTACAATAATTGCATAGCTGTTTTTTCTACTAAGCAAAGTCATTAATTCGTATTATTCTCATATGACACGTTAATTGAACGTCAAGAGATAACAATCGTTGCTGTATATATGTATATGTTTCATAGTTTTTGCGATCAGTATCCATAATTACGCTTCATATTCGCCAGACATTCTCTTCCATTACGGGCGTAGCCAGACATAGCACACACGCATGAGTTCATCTATAATCTTCGTCAACGGAAAAACATATATCGTTGGAGAACGTCGTGACGAAGTTGCACAATGTATCGATTGATAATTGAGTCCGCGATCAACAGAAAATGGAATTGTTACTGGGACAGGGATCGCCGTTATAGGAAATATCGCACGCGAGAAAATACGCAGCGGTTTATTTTCTTTCTAACGAGCTGACGTGCGAACGCGGTCAAATAAAATTGTCAGTACGAGTACGTCAAGTAAAATTATCAATATTTTCTTCACGAGATTTGTCTCTCGTCTTGAAATCAATGACGGATCGAATCAAGATACCGCGTTTATCGATTATCCAACGAAAATTAATTGTAACTGAAGGTATGCGTGAAAGGATCGACACACTATATCAATCCGCTACAAAAAGAATCCAGTTCAACTTGAACTGAATTCTTCAGAAATTAAATAAAAAATACACTATCTAAGAAAACAGCTATTATGCAATTTTCACGTAACATTACCGTAACTGTCTAATGCACTTTATATGCATAAAAATACATATCTACTATATTTATACATTATTTACTTGTTTCGAGTATTTTAAAACTTTATATCCGCAAATCTCTATCACAAGTATCAAATTTGTTTAAAATAAATTCTATCCTAGTGTAAGTTTAGTATTTCAATCAAGAGTATTAAATTAAAACTAATTTGATTTTGTTTGTTATATATATCTATGTAGTCATTACTTATAGAACAATAAAATTTTATAATATTCTTTACAGAAAAAATAAATTCTTATTTTAAATACATAATGAGTTTTTTCTTTTAAAAATATGTAATAAATATATTTTTAAAAAAATTATTACCAAGAAAATGTTTTTTATTAAAGATAACTGTTACTTAAAAGAAGAAAAGAAAATTGTGCAATCACGGTTTTTTAAGTAGTAAAATATTTTTACGTTCAGCTCATAAAGCAAGCTCAGTTTCTCGATTTTTCAATGAAAGAAAGTATAGGTAAAGGGCTAAAAAAAATAATGGGATAAAACCAAATCGTATACGCCCATAATTATAACGACTAATGAAATCTCGCGTGTCCTCTTCTGTGAGAGCCCGTGTAATGAGGTACGCGTACTTGCCTTTGTTCTCCGTAAAAGACGGAGAGGCGTCTTGTGTCGAAATGGACAAGCAGTCGTGAGAAAATTTTTCTGACAAACATTGCACGACTAAAGCGAAACGCGAGGTACAAATGGTGGTGGATTGTGCAAAGAGGCACGGGTCTACCTCGCCGCTAACAGGATCATTTGTACAACCGTTTGGACCTCAAGAACATTGACGCAAGTTGTCCCGCCTTGCGATATTGTTGGATAAGACTGCGGCGGTTTTGCGTTGTGTGTTGCGCAGGAAATTCGTAATTCGTTTATTGTAATATTTAACATTTTCACGCGCATAATACTCTTCAAAGTTCGTCTACTGCAAAGCATGTCATTAAATTTTACTAATTCATAATTTTTTTCAAAATTAATAAATAAACGTAATTATATTACCGTAATTCTATATTTTACTGTAACGCTATTTCTATTTTATATATCAATCATTTATTTTTATTTTTGTTTAAATCACATTAACATTACAACGGACTATATTTTAAGAATCAGTTTCCAAGTCATTATTAATACCAGAGAGATCGTACGTAATATAATAATTGCAATTTGTTACTTTGTAAAATGATCATGAAATTTAAAAAGTGAGTCACGTTAAGTTTCTATTAAGAGCATAGATAACAATATATAATTTTTTATTAGTAGTTATACATATAAACTCTATTCTATTATTAATATTTAATAATGCAAAAATTACGAAAAGGTTTAAAAGTTACTAAAATTTTTATTTTTATTTTTATTATAAAATATAGAAAACTGTTTAAAGTCTATGCCTCTCTGCTATTCTTCGAATGACGAATGGACAATAGTTAATTTTAATTAGTTTAAGTTTCGATCCAACTTACCAGTTTCATTCAACACGGTGTCCAATCCCGACTGTCTCAGATACTTCGCCATAGCGTAGAGGCCCTCTCTTTTCAATAATGTAGCTAGATTTTCCTGTAAAGTTTGAGACTTAACGGCTTCCGCCGAGGTCTCTGGGGACGAATGTTTGGAGAAATAGGCGTAAGAATTTGATGTGTGATAAGATGTCGGAGTCGTTGCCGTCGTCGTTACAATTTCGTTCACCGGTGCCATCGTTGGAATGAACTGGCTTCTGGTAGACGACGAGTACTTGGTAGTCACCCTCGGAATGTGATCTGACAGGGTCGTCTTCGTCGGGCTAGGATTCAAAGCGTTGTACACGTGTCCCGTGACGCTGGACGCCGAGGTCACGTATTTGTCAGTCGTGGACACCGAATTCGGCGATACTGTGACGTAAGGAATGTATTCCGTCGTTGACGACTTGCTGAAAATTTTATTTTGTGATTTATATTTACTCTTTTTATTTTGTTAATTCTAGAACCCACACATGTGAGTTTCTCAGACTCAATTGCGTTTGCTTTGTATATATAAAAAGAAAAGAAAAAAAAAGTTTTATTTTATAACTCAAAACAGTATAAAACTTTTTTTATATTTTACAACTTCAATATTTTTCAAAGCTTCAAAAAAAGAGTCTAAAAATATTAATTTGAACCCTGAAGTTACAACCTACCAAAGTTACAAAATGGGTTTTACAGATCCATGGTGTGTTTTCTGAATTTTTCGGAATGTGTTTTAGAGTTAAATATAAATAGATGGAAAATGGAAGAAATAAATTCGAGCTAATTAATGGCAAAAAACCAAAACTAAATTAATTATATTTTAGTAATCAAGGTATAGTGCGCAAAAATGAAATCACTCCAATAATTAGTTTGATAATATAAAAAATCATTTAGTTGGATATAAATTATATGAATGCGAATCATAGCAATAATCACACCTTTCGCTGTATCTGGTCGAGGTAGATCTGACGGTGGTGGGTCTGAAGGTCGCCGCCGTCGTGCTAACGGAGTGAACAGATGATACTGGTGTCCTGGATGTACCAGTGGACACTATTAGATTCGGATCGAGGTTGGATTCGAGGTGTTCTAGCGTGGAAGATTGCGTGGTCGGTCCAAGAGAGCTGGGTGGCAGCTTTAGTTCGCCCTTCTTGATCTTTTCAACGATGGATTCGACGTCACTACCGCTCTCCTTGTCGTTGGCATTACCCTTGACACCTTGCACTTTGTAACTACCGTCTGGCTGCTCCTCCAGCAGGACGAACGTGACCTTCTTCGCTGGTAGATTTTGAATGATCGGTGTTTTACCGACTTCCTCGAGCTTGCCATCGCTTTTCTGTCGGATGACCTCAAAATCGGCACCCGGTGGCAGCACGCCACCCTTCGTCAACTCCTCGAAGAGTGCTTTTGGTGGCTTGATAGTCGTCGAGGACGGCACAGCCGATGTTAAAATGGTGGGACTTCCACTAGGTGAAATGGAAGATAAGCCGTTTGGCGCGTGAATGACCTGAATTTTTTTGCCATTTGGCAATATCAGATCCCTAGTAGTGACATTCCTGACAACGTCATCATCGCCGGACTGAGCTAGAGCGAGTTTGAGTTGCTTCAGCAACAGTTCCCGCTCGGATAGTTGAGAACTCCTGCTTCTACCGCCAGAATTCTGTCTAGCTGTACTAGGTTTTTCGGTCTGATAGATTACTTTAATTTGTGGCTTCGATTTGCCTTGCTGCAACAGTTGACTCTCTTGATCTTGGACCAGGCTGAGCAGGTTTTCTGGTATATCCGTCTCTCGATGAGTATTAGTAATTAAACGTCTGGCTGGTGGAGGTGTAGTAGTGGTTGTAGTAGCCGTTGCAATTGTGCTCGCTGCTGTCGTTGTGTATTTCTTTTGATGGTTAGCAATTGCTTTAAGAAAAAGTTCCGCTTCCGACGGCGTAATACGTCGCGCAGTCGGTGAGGACAGCAGCAACGGCACGGAAGTGGTGCTGACAGCGATCGGAGTTGATATCGTGGTCGGTGGAGATGGTGTAGTGGAGGTGAGCCTCTGAAGTTGCTGAAGCCGTAGCAATTCCTGCTGCCTACGCAATTCCTGTTGCTCGTACAGCAATTGCTGCCGCTGTTTCTGGAGTAACTCCAACTCACGTTGCTTCTCGAGATACTCCTGTAACTGTATTGTGTGCTGATTGCTGAACAGCGGTTGCGACAAGTCTTGTCGAAGATTCTGGAAACCATTCTGATTGTAGTGGTTGTTGTACTGTTGTTGTTGCAGATATTGCTGCCGTTGAAATTGCGGCGATTGTATGCCGCCTTCACCACCGTTCACGAAGTTTGAAGTACCGAGCTGTTGGGCGACCTTTTGTTGTTGTTGTTGCAGAAGCTGCTGCACTTGTTGCTGCTGCTGCTGCAACTGTTGCAATTGTTGCTTCGCTCGATCAACTTTATATTTGGCCAGGGAGGAGAATGGCGTACTGGACTGTGCTTGTTCGAATGTGGGAAAATTTACTCGCGGATTCTTGAAGTCCTGAGTGGGACGTTGCCGATATCGTTGCTGGTGTTGCTGCACATCGCTCAGTATCTGGGCTTGTTGGGAAGCCGAGAGACGAGGTCGCGGATCGTTCACGATGTGGCCCTTCAACCAGATATTTAGCGAATATATTATATTACCCGTTCTTTTCAAAAAGAAAGAAAACATAAAAACGTTTTATGTTATAAGATATAAATGATCTATTTAAAGTTAATAATTATCTCTACTTTTTATGCGAGAAAATTGCGGGTTATCGCCGTGTCTTTCTTCATTTTTAATGTCAACGTTTCGTGAACCGTACCGTTCACTTCATCAGGGCGAGGGTTGCGCTGAGGGTTGCCCTCGCCCTGATGAAGTGAACGGTACAGTTCACGAAACGTTGGCATTAAAAATGAAGAGACACGGCGATAACCCGCAAACCTTCTCGCATAATAATTGAAGAAAATACCTGTGAAAGCCTCAAAAGCGCATCTCTACTTTTTTTTTATTCATATTTTTTTCTTAGAATAATTGATTTTTGTAAAGTTTTTTTTTGGACGTTAAAACGCTGCGGGTTATTGCTCTTTATTTCCGTTGTGCAATATCTTATATATACAATAATTTTTGCAAACATTTGTAGACGCATGAACATGTTAATATAAGATTATATAATACTTCTATGACATTTTTAGTGACATTTATTATCAATTTCAAAAAGAATTAATGACAACACGTTTTTAAAGTCAACTATGACTTATGACAATCAACGTTTTCTTCTAATTATTTTTTAATGTTGTAGCAAGAAGTTTATACGAGATGTTCTAAGATATGACATATATCAACTTTATAAATAGTAACCTTTAGTAAACTTAAAAATATACTATATAGTACTATCACAGACATGGAAGTAAAAATGTGACAGTAAATGCAATAAATCTTTCGTATGTATAGAGAAAGTATGACTTATACGAAGGGTATGAGTGTATGAAATCGTTGTTCATTCGACAGTTTTCATAAATTACCCTAGTTAATTACTTTGCGAATTACGTTTTGCATTTCCACTCTATTAAGAATCTCTGATGGTTAACGTGCTGTATGACGGCAAGATAAAAGATGATAAAAGCGAAAGCAAATCGAATTTATGCAATTGGCGGCAATTCGGTGTATGTCACAAGATTTATAAATTATCATAGATTTATATTTCTATTTGGAAACCAAGTGGAAAATCGATGAGAAGATTTATTCCCGCAATTCAATAAAAGTTGAATTGTGGGAATAAATCTAAACTAGAATAAACTATAAACTTGTCGTTTATTTACCTTTACGAATATTTAATTTAAATTAACACATCAGTACACAATATATATTATTTTTTATTTTTTAGATAAGTGATCTTTTAAATAGTATTCCTTTAGTTTTTATTTCACTTTTTATGTTGAGCATAGTAGAGAATGCATTAAAATATAATTAAAAAATTCTTTATATAAAATGATTATATTTTGTGATTAATTATATTATAATTATATATTGATATAATTATACATATAATTTATATGAGATACGACAAAAGTTCGGTTTGAGGCCAATATTATTCTTTATGAGAAGAGCCTAGATCTATTATAGTGCCATTTATATATGATTCCACAAAATCGACGATGTCATTATAAAAAATGTAGTTTAACTTAATCCTCAAATTAAATAACAATTAATGATTCGTAGAGCAAAAGAGAATTCGTATTATAATAAAAAAAAGTTCGAATTAGCGCTTTAACATAATATATTTTATTTTATATTATATTATATTATTATATATTATATATTAAAAAATGTATGTTTAATATGCAGGGTGTTTCAAATTTATTGACAACAATCAATAACGTTTCCAAAGAGTTTTAAATTGATAATTTTTTACGATTATAGTTTGCGCTGTAACAAACTAAAAAGATTTTGCTTTTCTGCAATTATATACTGTATATCGCTATTCCTGCTTATTGATTCCATTATCATCGCTTTTATTATTGCGATATTAATACTGCGTACGATGCGCTCTCAAATTCATTGTTGCTTTTATTGTGCGCGAGAAAGACGTGAATAATTAACGTGGCCGTAATTAAGAGGGGCATTGTTCGATCTTCCTTTCTCCTGGGTGCCTTCTGCCGTCGTCGAGCCCGCTGTGAGACAAGTCTTCTCGCGTCCTCTCGTAGAAAGTACGACCTACTGCAGTTTCCATTTCGCACACATAACGACTTACATATCATGTTCGAGTGGAGATCGACGTGTGTACTGGTTCTTTATATAACAACACAGCCCTGCGGCTAATATCCGCGTTTTGCATGATTACGCGTCTTCTCACACGCGGTTCACAGCTGTCGCATTTTTACAAGACGTTTCACAATATTATTATTCAGTGGGGAAACCGTTGAAATTTTTTTTCTATAACTTTACGAGACAGTATTTGAACGTTATACTTCCTGTATTTTACGGTGAAACTGTCGTCCAATGTTGAAAACAAAATACAATGTTTCTTAGAAATTTTTATTATTACTTGTAGACGAGATAGTCGGTTAAAATAGTAGTTTAAATAGTGAAAAATAAAATGATGCAAATGACTCGTTCGCCGGGAATTTCAATGTGTGTCAACAATGTTCCGCTTCGTGTTCCAGGTCAATTATACGTATTCGATTTCATTGACATTGACATTAACGTTAAGGAATCTGTCTAATAAACGTTCACTGTTATTACGTCGTAATTCTTCATGTCAATATTAAATAACGAATTTGTATTATCATCATTCTTATTAAATAAATAATCTACCTAATTTTTCTATGTCATTTTTTTCTTTAAAACTTTTTCTATTATCAGAAGTGGCAATAAGAAGTTGATCCAAAATCTGTATAATTAATAAATTAGCGAATGCATAATACCCACAAAAAAATTAACATCAGAATATCACTTTACTTTTCATATTTGTATCAAAATTTTTCTATTGATATGGTTTTTAATAAATCATGTCTGGTATGCTAAATAGTTTTAATTGGATTAGCAAGTGCAAGGTGATTGATACTGGATTTTCAATATCACAGTTTTACTTGTTTAATGTCATGCGGCGTAACGAAATAATTTCTCATAGACGCACGCAAGGAACAGTCTAAAATTATTCGCAACTGTATTTCATGAGTTTTACGTCTTTCTCACATACCTAACCACCTATCTCAAGTTTTTAGCTGATGATCACAAACTGATCGATTAAGAGCAATTAGGAATTGCATATTTCTCTCTCACAGCAGACACTGTGACACTTTGTTAAGTATCACGAGCTGCGATGTAACGATAACGCGTCTGTTTCAAACTTTCTATCTTTAGCACGTGCGAATGGAAATAATAAATCCTATATGTGTTTTGTAAGCGACCACTTAAAAAGTAGCAACCTTCGAGTGTTGATCGTCGTTTGCTAAGCGATCGGATTAAGTTGCGCATCGATAAGTTACACAGATTCCTAACGCATAATTACACTTTCCGCAACAACGTTGCAGCTTGAAGTGCGGCAATATCTCGGAGCAAGCGTTAATAAGATCTAACCGGATGTTTAAATGTCATGAAAGAGTCGTAAATGATAAAAAATAATGTTAGATTGTGAAATCGTAACATATATAAAAATAGTTATATATAGTTTGCTAGGCAGCAACAGACGTTACAAATGTTTGAAATTTGATAAAAATTTATATAAATATATTGCAGATTTATAATAAAATTTAATTCCTAAAAGATTTTAATTAATTTTATATGAATTCATTTCGCTTTTTAATTTACAAATTTTCAATTTTATTTATAATTTTTTAATCAATCTTCATACTTTAACGGACGAGAATTGCAAACATGTTTCGCGGGAAATGCGCACGTTCCAAACTGCGGTACAAAGAATTTTTTAAAGTCTTTTCTGGAAAATTAGAGCCCGTCATAGCCGCGAAAATGAGTTATCTGGTAATTTGCGCGATTGCCTCGAGAAATGGTCTGCTTCTGTCAGAGGATAATTGAGGCCTAGAAAGCGACGGAGTTCAGAGAAACTTTGAAGCACTGTAACAGGAATGACGGAGCTGTCCTGTTCGACGATTCATCACGCGTGTTTAGATTTTGTGGAAATTCGGCTCGGATTAAACTGGAAATCGTGTCAAGTTGGCAATTCATTAAGTGAAGCCTTGATACAAAAAAAGGTGTAAATGTTAAAGATAAAAAGAATTCAAGATATTCGTAAAAAAATATTTTTTGCGGGGACAAACTTGATTAAAAATAAATACAGTATACATTTAATGTCTGTTACATAAAAATAAAAATTTTAAGGATAATTAAAGGACACAATTTTTTTTGTCTCCAAATATGAAGCAACGTTAATTTCTTCAAACTCCTACATGCTAAACTCCTACATTTCAAAGATGCTCGAGCATCTCGAAAACAGGTCGTTGCTAAGAGTCTTTCACGAAGGGGACGAATGCAATCGCCGTAATGCCTCGCAGCCCACAGTTAATCATACTCTGTTACACACACGGACTATTAACAAATATATAAAAAATGTGAAGTGGAGCGAACAGTCAGACACGTGAATAAATGCCTTTCAATATGCTCTACCTACGCGTGGATAAATAAATGTTACAGAACCGTTAGTACAAGTTTTGATAGGCATGAAATAATCGTTATCACGTATCGCTTATCGAAAAATATCATCGCTGGAATTATAACAATTTCCGCGTCCGATTAGACTGAGCTCTGACCAGTGCGGTTCGTGAAAGACAATCCTCTCACTTTCGTATCGTAAGTCGACCGCAATTCGTAGCCGGTCACTATTACCTGGCTGTCAAGAATCATCCGGTAAACAGAAAGGACGATTAATGTATATCAGTGTAAATCTTGGAATATTATAAATACAAAATTTCCAAAATTTAGCAGCTAAATTTTTCTGAAAGAGCTTTTCCAGCTTCTCGATTGTCAATGTTTAATGAAATTTATGTTAAAGTAGTTATTATTCAATTAGATAAAACAATTGTAATTACTTAATTAAATAAAAATTTGCTACAGCTGTGTTCACTTGTAATTACTAAAATTTCTCTTTCGTCGCAATGAAACAAAAAGAA